ATATGACATTTCCAATTTAAATATGAAATTGGAAAACAAAAAATATACACTTGTATGTGTGTGTGTGTGCGTGTGTGTGTGTGCGACGTGTGAATCGACAATTAATTATACATAGATATGCCTTGGCTGTTTGACGTATGTGTTCTAATTTACCGTGTAAGTGAGCTCAGACATGTTTATGCATTCATCAGCTATAGATGTGTTCATTTAGCACCTTATAGTCTTCCGTTAAAAACAAACAGTTAGCATTTAAACATCACTAAGTAGTATATCTTATGGTTGCTGACAGCTAGCGGATTAGAACGTTCAAAATGGTTAAAACAGGGTATAATGAAGTTATGCAAATAGCCGGTAACATGCAGAAGGAAGCATTTCAGATCCAACAAAGAATAAATATTCATGAACAGCATCAAGAACCGAGTCGATTTAGCCCGGTTCATCAGAAGGAACTAATCTTAGATATTAAAAGTGCTAGAAATTTCTATAATTGGATTTCTCGTATACCATATGCAGATACAGTTATTTAATATTTATCAAAAAATATGTTCGATTTCCGATAGCAATAAAAGACCCTGACATATTATTGCTAAACTATAAAAACTTAATCAAGATCAATTAAGAAATACAGCTTTGGCTAATCAAAATCTATTCTCAAACTCAAACAACAATCAAAGACTATAAATTAATATTTCAACTTTCTGCTAAAATATTTTTGTGTGTTTAAAATTAGTTCAGAGTATTTATAGGTCAAACCATCTCAACTAAATCATTCGAAGATCTTAAGTTCTTAATTTATGTATTTGTTACAAACAAAACCAAACGTCAAATGTTTATTTAAGTTAAGCACAGCAAAACATTCCATAGCAAACAAAATCACAATTAATTTTCAGCATTCTCGCATTTTAAATTACTCGTTAAGATTTAAAAAAAAAGAATCAAGAGCATTCTATTAGCATCTTTGTCTACCAATATATTAAACTAATGTCCTCCAGTTTTGTCATGCTCACTTAACTACTCGATTGCCCATAAAATATACATATAATATTCAATAGATAGTTAACCAAAGTATCAGAGATCGCTATCGTAAGTGGCAAAGTGTTTAATTCATGCGCACACACTCACACAGAGAACAAACAAAAGAGCAGCCACTGATCAACTCATGACTATAATTATAATGAGCAAACAGGAGATACATATCTAAAACTTGAAATGAGTTTATATTTCGAATTATGAATAGTGTGCGCGGCTGCAGTTCATTGAAATGAACGCCGCTAAGCGTATGAAAATCTGGCGAGTTCACTCAACTATAACTGATAGTCGTGACGACATTTTTGCTTACCACCTCCTCTTCCTCCTCCATCCCTTCCCAATAACTCCACACCCGCGCCGGTAGCCGGCTCCAGCATGCATTAAATAATATACAAGTTAGGCTGGCAAAGAGTTGTTGGCAATACTTGTTGCCAGTGTTGTTAGCTGTAAGTTGTTAGCTGTTAGTTGTTGTTGTTGCTACTATTGTCTGGCTGCGATACAAAGAAGGCCAGCCGGTTGTTGTCGGTTGGCTGGCAAGTGAGGCTTTTGTTGCTTCTCGGTGTTCGGTGTTCGGTGTTGAGTGTTCGGTGTTTCGGTGTATTCGGTATTCGTTGTTCGGTATTCAGTTTCAATGTCAATGTCAAAAACGTTGGCGATCGCATGTGGATTCAAGCACGCAGTGAAATTTTATTGTCACCGTCACCGTGGTTGATACTTTTATTGCCGCAGCTGTGTGTTGTTGTTGTTGGTTGTTGGTTGGTTGTTGTTGTTGCTGTGCTTGTTTTACTGTTTTCATTAAAGAACACATACACACCACAGTTATGAACATGTACATTTTGCCTCCAAGCACATGCAACAATTTAAACTTAATGCTTAACGAGTTTAGTTTAGTGTTCAACTTGCATATTTACTCAAGCATTCAATATGTACATATTTTAAACAACAAATCTGTGGTTCTCTAAACATTTTTCTAAGCTAGCACTCTAGCACAAAATTAACTTTGGTTTATAACAATAAACCTAGGCTATCTGAAGATTACAATACCCTTGATGAGAAGAATTCAAGTGGCGACTTTTCACTTTCAAATTTTCCCACACAAACAGGCAGACAGAGAAGCATGGATTTATCAACTCGGCTAGTTTTGAACGCATGGATGGGATGAATTTTTTTATTATATATTTTTTATGTAGCAATTATATTTTAAACATTAATCAACCTATTAAAAGGCTATAAACATTGATTTGAAAAGATATGAATGAATAATAACAGCGAACTACAATCTATAACATAACCATAGAAGATAGGTTTTAGCAGATAATAAATAACATTAAATAATACATTTGAATTTTGGGATTATATTTTAAACTGAATATTGATTGTGGAGTATTTATGTAGACGCCAAACCATGACCAAAGCCAAGGGCATAGACAGTCTTTCATAAAGTGAGGGGGCAGATTGTATTTTTCTCATAAATTTTAACGAAACTAGCAGTGGGAATCTTGGATCAATCCGATAAGCATACTTAGAGATATGGGTATTAACCACATTGCTATCAGTTGTTGGGTTAAACAATTATGAATGCCTTATAGACTTGGAAATTTCATTCATTCATTCTGCGGAAGAAGGGATTTCCAAGCATATTTTATGACCAGTTAATATATATAAATACATTTTTACCGTAAATTTAAGGCGTGTGTATTCTAGTTAACTTAACCACCAACTATATTCCTACTTCAGCATTTACATATAAATAGCAATGACTTTTTAGAGTATTACAAATAAAGCTTTAATACCTATGTAAACTCCAACAATATCATTTCAATATTGTGTCAGCACATGAACCTTCTAACCCGATTCTTTTTAGTAAATTGGATTTTTATCTTTGAAAGGTTCAGTATAATAAATATTTTATTATATTTACGTGTTCAAGTTAATGAGATCGGTTCTGATAAGGCTATCAGTTGGCGTAGGGCAACAATTAGAAGCAAAGCCCCTGATATAAATGCCACACGCAGACTAACTAATAAGAATTGATTAAAACCGAACAATAAATCAGATGTCAAGATATCTACATCATCTAAATTCAATTAACTTTATTAATCAGTTTTACGATATTCAATCATCATTCCATTTTGTTATTAAATAAACAATTATTGTGTCTCCAAGTATCCAGTATATTAAAGAACACGCCCTTTTATAATAATTAGAAGTTAAGTCGTGTCAATGCAAAGGTTGCAACATATTATCTAGAATTTCGCAAATAAAGTAATAGTCTATTAAATATTGTCATTCGGAACACACTAATTAAGTATAATAATCCACTTAAGCCCAACCCTTGAACGAGAATTGAATTTATTTATAAATAAACAATTTGAATTTTACATTTCTAAGAAAATAAAGTGAATCGCAAAATGATTAAGAAATTGTAAATGAGTAACCGCAAAATAAAAATAGCAAAGTTAGAATAAAGAAAATATCTTCACCAAGGCAGAATGGATTGCTGCTCAGTGGAACTCTATTCATTTAATTTTTATTTTTTTTTTTTTAATTTTATATTCAATTAAAATATAATAAATTAAAAACAAGATACATTTTTTAGATTTCGTGGGGTATTGAGTTGCAACATTTGTTACGTGGATTAGAAAAACCCAATCAGATCAAAAATAAAAAGATTTCGTATAAATTAGATCATTTGCCCAACCACAAATGCACCAAAAAATGTTATTCACAAGATAAGATGTTCAAAATTGAGGTATTTTTGGTAAAAAATAGAGAACTCTGAATTGATAACACAACAAAGTCCATTGTTATCAATGCAGCGTAAAATAAAATCGGAGAAACTCGTTTACAAAGTTTAGCCCTTAGTGAAGTTTTATGGTATGAAAATGTGCAGGAAAAGGCTTAAAGCCAAGAAACTCGTTTGCCAATTATAGTTTCGTGATCATCATGATCATTATAATCGTATGTATAGAAACGAGCGGAGGGAAGCTCTTAAGCTGAGAGATTCATCATCATGATCACAGTCATACAACATACAACATTATGAATAATACATTGTTAGTTAGGAATTATAATATGCACTATAATTACGATAACGAGCCAATAAAAGCGTATGCAAAATACTGCACTATCTCAAAGGGAATTACTATGCATAATAAAAATGAATCATTGAAAAAATATATGAGAAAAAATTAAAAAATGATCATATTAATAAAGATCTTCATCTTTAGCAACTGAGCGACTTATCATCTAGAGAAGTACAAAATTAATCTTATACATTTTAACTTGTTTCTATAGTAGCTATAATTCACACGAAAAAAAAACCAGAATAAGCATTTTTCTATAGCTGAAAAATACATCACTATCTTAAAAGGAAATAAAATGCATAATTAAAATGAATCATCGAAAAAGCGGCGAATAAGAAAATAGATTTAATTACATTCGACTTGTGTCTAACGATTGTCTGGCTTCTTACACATTGTCCCAGACAGTTGGTCCGTGTAAGAGTCGTCAGTTAGCAAGTCCAATTGCTCAATTGCGCACATTGTATCAAATGCAGAGAATTCTACACGATTCGCTCGAGAGCGCCCAACAGCACCAAACTGAATTATTTCTCCTGAGATGCTCACTTTAGATATGTATGTATCTGCACAGATAAATATTGTATGCTCTTTGTCTCTCTCTCTCTCTCTCTCAGTCTAACACTCTCTGCACCCCAAATCATCAATTGAAAAACATTGTGTGAGCAAAGCGAGCGATTCTAATGCGCTCTCTGTGAAAGATATCCACACATAAGCGATATCAGCAGAGACTCCCTTTAGAAACTACTGCTACTACTACGACTGCGACTGCGACTACGGCTACTGCTACTTATGCGAGTGCTACGATTTCGTGCGAGTTCCGTTCCGTTCCGACATCGCGACGTCGCGACGTCAATGGCTGGCTGAACGTCGACCCAGTAGTCTCAGTCTCGCGCCGCAGTTCGAGCTATTCGGAAGTGTTTTTTTTTATAAGTCGAGATAGTCGAACGTACCAATTCAAAATATACATTATACATATTATACTTATACGTTCACAGAAAGAAAAGAAAATAGCAATCGACGCGCGTGTTACAAATCCGGAAATTTCGCATTCTACATATATTTGAGGAATACATAAATTTCGAAAATTAAATGCAGACGCTATCGTTTCGTGCTGTTTTTCGCGACACAACATAATTCCCAGTGCGGAAAGTGTATTTTGAAATATTTCTGTACGAGTATTCAATTTTTTGTTTATTCAAATTGAATATTAAGTGCAACTGGTGGGACATTCAACGAATTTGACACAATTACAAAAGTGAATATGCAAAACTTAATTGAACTGTTTGTAGCTTTGGTTTCAATTTCGATTTTGATTTCGATTTCGATTCTGTTTTCTTGCTTCTTCGGTTCTTATTTAGAATTCGCTCTTACTCGTGTGTTTGTAAGGAAATAATGAATATCTACAAATTGGAACACACACACACACACACATACACACACACACACACACACACACACACGAATACACCACACACACACACACACACAAGTGTAGAAGCAACAGGCAATCAAACAGTTTGTAATTTGTATACAAAGAAAAAATATAAAATATAATTCTTTGTAGATCAAAGTTCAAAATACGTTTTGTCTTATTTTTAGCATGCAATATGGCCAATTTCATATGCACATATACATATATATATATATACATTCATTTGTTGATATAGCACATACGCCCACTCTGACTAGACTTTGATTCGATTGGAGCATCAAAGACAATTATTTATCGATGCATTTAAGAATTCTAATCACTTTCCCTTGTGCAAAGCAAATAAATACATATGCGTATGCGTATGCGTATATGTCTATTTATTTAGATTTTATTAGTCCAGCAATTATTGTTGCCAAATCGTGATGATATCACCCATAGCGATAGCACCATAGCACCCAGCAGATACCCCTCCGTACCGCCAGACCTGTCATCATCATCATCATCATTGTCACTGGCAACAATGTGGGGCATAAGGGACAGCGTCAACATACTCAGACTTGAGGGCGTGGAGCAATACAATTTGTAATGCAATACGCTCCGGTTTGCATAGAGTCCAACAAAGTTCCCAACCACAAAATAAGTGAATGTGATACATAGAAACACACATACATATATATAGGATAGTATATATACATATATTTATATATAAACACAAAATAGAAACAGAAGCGTGTCTCAGTGTGTGTGTGTGTGTATGTTTATATTGCCCCCCATCTCTGTATCGCTTATCACTCGGAGTATACAAATTACTTATCGGACATTGACAAACATCAGAGTTAACTAGATATATATTTATATATATAACGGCCGCCATGAGAATTACTATCCCAGAGTGAGTCAAGGCTTCTATCAGGGGTTGCGGCGCAACCACCTGTTGCCACATACACACACATAGTTCTTAGGAATACGTGACTAGTCTATGTCATTTCTTATTGGAATAGCTGGGAAATATATGTATTTGTCTTCTTCAGTTTCTTTTATTCTTATTTTTGACCTTGGATGAACTACGCAACCACACAAAGTGTTTATTTATTTTATATACTTATATACAGAGTCTAACTTACAGTTCAGATTAGACGTTCTTTATCTGTTATATTAGACCCATCAGTATATATAGATTCTTCACAATTGCCAGGTCTAGATGCAAATTTTTCAGAGTAGAGATTACAAGTGCTTTATTCAATAAGTTGTCAAGCCAAGTTTGCATACTGAATTCAATTAAATACATTGTTTTTCTACAAATATATTAGAGTTAGAAGAAATTTAACAGTTAAATATATATTCTAGTAAAATCATCAAAATATATCTTATGTACTTAATCTTTACCTTTTCAAAACATGAAAGCTTTTCTATTAAATTAGTTTCACAAATCTTTTTGCAATAAAAAGAGGAAGCAGGTTTAACACATCATTAAAAGTGGGGGATCTAATAAAAACCCAACGCGTGCTAAATTAAAAAAGTTATGGGGTTATTTTGTGCAACCTATTCTAGTATATTTTTCAAGTTGAAAAAGCCCATAAGAATTAAGCATAAAAAGTAAGACTTTGAATATGTAATGTGAACAATCCCATTGGGAAAATCGTCCCAATAGTAACAGAGTTGTTCTTTATAAGAAATTTTCAGTGATCAGGAATATTGTGACTTATACTTATAAATATACTACATAAAAATAATACCAGTTCCAAAAGCAATAATTTTTAATGAATGCTTAGGCTACTTCAATAGGTGATCTTATGAGTGTTGAAATTATACTGTCAGTTGTCACAAGTGGGTTTGTTTAAGCCGATTTGCATATATTGTAAGAGTGAAGTGCTTATTAAAAATGGCAAGCCAAGAACAGGTAGCTCAACTTCTTATTAAATGCGCAACACGTTGCGATTTAATATAGGGTCGTTGCACGGCTGTCAAATTTTGCAATTATTTTTTCGAAAGAAATAAAAACCTGATCATGCTGAATTGCGATTCTGTACCAAGAACACTGTAATTTTTGTTGATGCAATCATTCTCGACTTGCACCCAACTAGCAATAATTGTATAAGAAATTAAAAGCTTTGTGATTGTCAATGCAATTAGCTAAAATAATAATTTATTCATTTATTTTTATTTAATGTATGTATGTAGAATATTTTGTAGTTTTGCACATAATACTTTTCCTGTTCAATGTTACCTACACCATACGTGAACGCAGATTACCAAACAGCCTTAGCCTTTACCAATGCCTTGCACTAATAATTGTATAAACAAAGTGCCAAAGATTAAATATTGCTATGCACACGTGTCTGTGATGGCATGCAACCCGTCTGGAAAATCTGTTTAGCTGATTATAAATTTTGCGTGCGTTGAGTGGCAGATTCACAATGCGATAATACAATTGCCAGATGCAAAACATTCTCGATTTAAAACACATTTCCCACCTATTGAAATTGAAATGTTTACTTTGAATTATTTAACTGCCGTTTGGAATTTCAGTTTACTGCAGATTAATCAAACATTTTTTCAGACTTTATTTTTGTGTGGGTTTACTTGTTTTTTGTTCGATTTGTGTGGGCTTAACCAGAATATGCTATAAACCAAGAGAGCCTCATAGTTTTGAGAGTATACTGAAATATTTGAATTTTAATATTCTTTAAGTTGGTAAAAAGATTGAAAAGCTTCATTTTGTAATATTTTTTTTTCATTTTCTTTAATGAATAGATAACGAATACAAAGTTTCGTTCACCCTTATCTAACAACTTTGTTGATAGGAATCTATTTCCTATTACGTGTTTATTGACAAAACGTATGGAACGTGATAATTAGTTGATAACTTTATCTGATATTGTATATAATAATCAAGCAGATTTTACAGTCATAAAAAGTGATAAACGCTAATAAATTAATTATTGATTCCTAGATTCTTAGATAACTTTTAATTAATTTGCATCTGAGTGGATTGTAACATGCATACAGGTATTTCATATATGTTGAACAATTTGCATATTCGAATAAATCTTCAATAATATGGACTTCCGACTAGGATAACAAACGCAGTCGTACAATTTATTAACACTAGATATTCCAGCAATATGAAAATATATCCATATATGTATATTTATATGAGTCACAGGCAGACAACGGCATTTTTAATACAATTTACTTTAATTGATAGCATGTGACTTTCCCGACATTCTGGTCAAGTGTTTGCGTTCCCAAGACACAATGTCTCGCACACACACACCTATGTGTGTATATATGTATATATGTTTGCATTTGCGTATTGAACCTGCAGTTCAGGTTTGCAGACGAAGGACAGCTCACTTTTATATTGACATATTTACAACATACTTGCCGGGGCTACACATTTTGATAGCATTTGAAAGAACCCTGAGAACCTGAACGGCCTGCCTGGCCTCATTTGGAAGACAACGGCAACAAAATAGCTGCGTATTTCCGCGCGTATTATGGTTTCCATTGACGTTTTTCAAAAGGCTTTTCGTACGACTCTTTGTACAATAACAATCTTGAGCCATTAATTCAATGGTCACGTAGTAATTCAAAAAAAAAAATAATTCTAAAGCCAGCTCGGAGGCTGCTGGCCTGGTCATTGAAAACGCAGGAATTTCATTGCGCAAACTGAGACCAAAACAGCGAGAAAAAAAAAACATAAACTGCAAAAGCCAAAAACAAGAAAAATGCTAAACATTGGCAAGCAAGCGAGGGCGATGGTGTGGAGCGAGGGGCGAGGGGGTTGCTACTTCAGATTCACTTTTAGCGGTTTCAACTGCGACGGTCGCCGAGGCTCTGTCAATTAAGCGCGACTCTAACAGGTGTTGTTGTATGTTGTACGTAGTTGTTGTTGTTGTTGTTGTGCAACGGCCGCGACGGACTTGACGGTTCTTTTTTAGTATTTATTTTTTTTTTTACCATTTTCGGCTTGTTTTTATTTTTGTTCAAGTTTGTGTAATTCGCATTTCGCAATTTGTGCCATTTTTGTATTTGACGACCACCATCAAAAGCCACGACAAATGCCATTAACAAGTGGCCATATTTTTCAAGTGTTTATTGTTGTTGTTTATTTATTTACTACCGATTCTGCCACTGTGCTTGTCATTACTGTTTATATTTACGCAGTCCTTGTCTGTTCTACGTCTTTTGCTATCATCGCCGTCTTCATTTACGTCTTCGTCTTCATCTTCATCTTCACCAGCTTCAGCTTCAGCTCATGCGCGCATTGCGGCAAATTAGTTTTTACCTCGCTAAAGATTTTACGACACTTCCAGTTGCTTAGCTATCTTATGATCTTTGTTACCTCCGTCATCAGGCGTCTAATTTGGTGACTTGCATTAAATTTATATATATTGAATTATATTACATTTTTAATTAACACAAAAAGCTAAACAATAATGGAAGGTAATCATTTGTTTGCTTATGTGCTGGATTTAAATTAGATGATGATGACTTTTGTATCCAGTACGATAGGTACAAAGAAAGCCGGTTTACTTTCGAACTGGTTCTGAAAGATAAATCCATAAACAACAACTAAATCCCATTAAATATGTACATCAGCCGGCAAAGTAAATATAATTAAATGAATTAACAAATACTCGAATCTCTACCAAAGCCAGTTGGGGTATTCAAATCGCGGTGCGGTCCACAGAAGCATAGGCATTCCTATCGCTGTTTACCCTTTATGTTTGCATACTAGTTTTACAATAAGCATGAAAATACCAGAAGAATTAGGAATATCTCTCGAAGTGTGTACGAGCATTATTATTATTTTGATAGCCCGGTGACGGGAAGGTCGTTTGCAATTTTTTTTTTATTCGGCTTACTGCTCACTTCTTAATGTTTTTATAATTATTATTATATGTATATTTTATATTTCTTTTTGATATGCACATGTATTGGGCTTAGTTTGCTTTTGTGGTTGTCTGTCTGTGAGTCACACTCGATATACGAATTTTTTTGGATATGTGGTGTGTGTATGTGTGTGTTTGTGTATGTGTAGTTCTTATCGACGAAACTTAAACTTGAACATACATTTATACATGTCTGTATATAATTTGATTTCTGGTCAACATCGCTCGATTGTTGACTTTTTGTGTTCGACGCGTTTTGCATTGCCAAATATTATTGTTGTTGGTGTTTTTTCCCCCTTTTTTTTGTTGTTGTAGACTCTGATTTAATTTATTGGTTTCAGTTGTGCTGCGTCGCAGTCCGCGTCAGCGTCAGCGTCACAGTCGGCGCCAGCGCTGGCCATTTGCCTTCCGTTTCTGTTTCTGTCTCTGTTTCTTGAGTGGTTGCCTATCGTTGCTTCTTCCGCAGTTATCAGCTGTTCGCCAGTCCGTCTGTCCATCCGTGCGACGGCGCACATGCGCAACTGAACCGCTTTATTTTTTTGTTAGTTAGTTTGTATTTGCTGGTTGGCTGGTTCAGTGGTTTTCTAGCGGCTTATGCAATGGTTCAGACGGTTCAAGATCTTGGCCCATAAGTTCACTTCGCGCTCTAATTGCAAATGTATATACGATGTAATAGCATAAAGTGTTTTGTCATCATTTTGATTTCCCTTTTTTATTTAATTTTTGTTTTTATTTTTTAGCGTCTATAATTAAACATTTATGTTAATGCTTGCTTTGAAGGTAAGCTATAATAATTTTTCTTTGCTGTTTTGTAAAGCAAAGAAAAAATATTATAGCTAATTGCAATGCAGCAATTTTGTAAAAGTCTTTGAAAATAAACATATATATATATATATATATATATATGTATATATGTATAGTATTTGTTAATTACTGAATTCTGAAACGCAACATTAAAAAAATATCAAACAGAAAGTAAACAAAACCATAAAAACAAATGTGCACACTGGGCGTAAACAAATAATTTGCATCGAAACTACTATAATCAAATAAAATATATATTTATAAACATGGATGGTAGCAAACTGTTGAAAAATGTTTATGGCATCGATATACACTTTGAAGATCTCGTCTATCAGGTTACGGGATCTAAACGAAAAGGTGCGTAACATATATCGGCAACACATATATATATGGCTAAAACTAATATGCCAGGAATTTTTTTAACACCTTATCTTTCAACAAGTTTTAACTTTGCGCTCTCCTCGTATTTTACAGAGAAGAAATCGGTGCTCAAGGGCATTGAGGGTACATTTAAATCGGGTGAAATGACGGCTATAATGGGCCCCTCGGGCGCTGGCAAATCTAGTCTTATGAACATTCTAACTGGCCTCACTAAAAACGGCGTCTCGGGCACCATTGAAATTGGCAAGGCGCGAAAATTGTGCGGCTACATTATGCAGGATGATCATTTCTATCCATTTTTCACTGTGGAGGAGACAATGCTGCTGGCAGCCACACTTAAAATATCCAACAAATGTGTGAACATGAAGGAAAAACGCATTTTGGTAAGATTCATGCATGAAGAGATTAAGATAAGCCACTAGCAGTAAGCCCTTTAAAGCATGCATGTTGACAACAGGTATACTAAGCGAACTTTCAGTTATTTATATCCGTCTGTCTGGCTGTCCTTAAGTAACCATAATCATCGCTTTTAATTTTATTACTTTAGTAAAAAAAAAAACAAAACCACTTTACTTAAACTAATCTGTGCTCTTCATCTTTTTTGTCCAGATTGAACACTTGCTGAGCACGTTAAAGCTAACGAATGCGAAACAGACGAGATGCTCGAAGCTGAGTGGTGGCCAGAAGAAGCGTCTGTCCATTGCCCTAGAGCTAATAGACAATCCAGCTGTGCTATTTTTGGACGAGCCCACAACGTAAGTGAAACACCGAAACACCACACAATCGAGAACCAGTTACTGACTAAGCATTATTATTTTTTAACCTTGAAATTGCATCGCATCCATACAGGGGCCTGGACAGTTCGTCATCCTTTGATACTATACAATTGTTACGTTCTCTGGCTAACGAGGGTCGGACCATTGTGTGCACAATCCATCAGCCATCGACAAACATTTACAATCTGTTCAACCTGATCTACGTGTTGAGTTCGGGTCAATGCACCTATCAGGGAGCGCCTCAAAATACGGTGATGTTTCTGAAAACGATTGGACTCGAATGCCCAGCCTATCACAATCCAGCGGATTTCTGTGAGTACCGCCGCCTAATTGGGCAGGGCAACTTTTTCGTTTTGATATTAATCATCATTAAAACACCGTTCGACATTCAACAGTGCTGGAATGTGTGAATGGTGATTTTGATGATCACACGGAGGCCTTAGCCGAATGCGCCAAGGACACACGCTGGCGTTACGATCAAGAGCTGATGCAGGATGAGGCGGTGCCCCCCTCCGATTCACAAGTGGCCAAGTTCAACGAATCGCAGACCCAAGGCCAGTCGCCACAATCCAATATAATAAAGATCGAATCAACAAAGGAACTCCATAAACACACCTATCCACCACCTGAATGGATGCGCTTGTGGCTACTAATTGGACGTTGTCACTTGCAGTTCTTCCGGGATTGGGTGAGTTAATCATGTCATCGCCTTCGTTATACTTCATTAAGATCAGATATCTGAAAGGGACATTCTCCGTGCATGTTATGCAGACTTACGAAATTGTTGAAGTGATAAAACATAATGAAGCAAATAAACGAGATTATAATATTCGTTATTTATCTTTATTATAATTCTTCTTCTAGTTTCGTGAAAACTTGCAAAGTGTTTCCAATGCTTACACTGAATTGGAGTATTTAATTGAAATTTCCACGTCTTTCAACCTATTTTTAAATCTATTTTTGTCATGTGCATACCCAACGAAAATCATATTATAAATACATAAATATATATATTTATTGATTTCTTTCTGCCTTTCTTTCAGACCTTAACATATTTAAAGCTTGGCTTGCATATACTGAGTGCTATTATGATCGGTTTGATCTTTGGTGATTCTGGCATCAATGCCACCAAGCAAATATCAAATGTTGGCATGATTATGATACATTGCACGTATCTCTGGTATACGACAATAATGCCGGGTATATTACGCTGTAAGCTATATAAAATACAATCCGGATTTGCACTTAACTAAAACTGATATGCATTTTTATAGATCCATTGGAAATCGAAATAATCAAGAAGGAAACCTTTAACAATTGGTACAAGCTGAAAACCTACTATGTGGCCACCATCATAACATCCACACCGGTTCATGTATGTACTATATAAACTATAAGTGTCATATATACTTACTGATAATCCTATTTGAATTATCTTGCAGATAATTTTCTCAACAGTTTATATAACGATTGGTTATTTGATGACTGATCAGCCTGTGGAAATGGATCGGTTTGTCAAATATTTGCTAACAGCAGTGGTTGTAACCATCTGTGCCGATGGCTTGGGTGTATTTCTAGGCACTATACTTAATCCAGTGGTGAGTAAAAGATATTTAAATATAGTCAGACAAACATTTGAAAAAGATGAAAATGATATGAAGAAATTGTGCAAGTATTGGGAACAAAATGAATAAAATATATAATAAAATAATTAAAATTTCTTCATGAATATAATTTAATTTTTAATATATTTTGCAATATCAGAAATTATACTTCGCATCATGTATTTTCAACTTATTTTTAAATTGTGCATGTATTGAAAATATGATTTAATAATAAATATTTTCTCATCATTTATGTTAAATTTAATTTTTAGAATGGAACTTTTGTTGGTGCCGTGTCCACGTGTTTTATGCTCATGTTTTCGGGATTCCTCATCCTATTAACCCATATACCATCTGCCTTGCGGTTTGTTGCAGCGATGTCGCCGCTGCGATATGCTCTGGAAAACATGGTTATATCATTGTATGGCAATCATCGGGACAAGTTGGTCTGTCCACCCACCGAGCTCTACTGCCATTTCAAGTAAGTTTCAAATAAATATTAAAATAACAAAAAAAAGGTCAACAAAAGTTTTATTTTATTTATAGAAATGCAGTGACGGTGCTAAATCAATTTGGCATGGAGAATGGTGATTTTGGCTACAATATTATGATAATTCTGGGCCAGATAACGCTGTTCAAAATCTTGTCATATTTTACGCTGAAGCATAAAATGAAATCAGTTTGATTCGGATGCCTGAAGATGCCTAGTATTGAGCTTAATATATATACATATATATTAAATGTGATTTTATGTTACTTATCGCTTAGTTCAAGTGAGCTACATTTTACATCGGCGTGTGATACTTTAACTAATGCTACCTGTTGCTGTATACATACTAATTGTTAACATAGCGAATATAGTTTTTATACGGTTATACAATTTTCATATGCATGTACATTTATAGGACTATACATATGTATATATGTCACTCGATTAGTTATCAGTTAAAATAGGTTGTAGTAAGTAAAGTATGTACGAACGAATTAAATGGACATGTTGAAAAAATATTTACAAACCATTAAACAAAGAAATTCAAAATGTGCTTTTATGTTTATTTATTTATTTGTGATTGTGGGCTTGAATATTAAAATAAAGAAAATGTAATATGGGATTAAGAGGTGAAGTTCTTATTATATTAAAATATGGAAAAATTGTGCAATTCAAATTTGAAGTTTCTTTTCCGGTATTAAAATACCAAAAGTATCGCGCGCTTACTGCCAGTGCACTTATGCAGCCCTGTCAACTTGAGTTATCGTATATCGATAACTATATCACACGACATTGACGTCGGTGGCCATCAATAACAAAGAAAACAGCAGCCAGCAATAACACGGAGCGAGAGCGAAATAAATAAATAATAAACGCATTTCGGTCGCTAAAAGCATCAAATTAAGAACAACAAATAGTTAACAAAAAGTAGAAAATGTTTCGCTCTAGTTTTGACAAAAATCTGGGTGAGTAGTGCAGCCAGCTTAACTGCCAACATTAAATTAGTTGAAAGATGAAAGTGCAACAAAAGTGACTCATCGATAAAGAAAAGCAAAAAAAAGAAGTATAACAAAAAAGGAGGAATGAACTCAAAACGCAGTTAAAACACACAAAATCTGATAATCTTTTACATTTTTTTGCAACAGAGAACGCCACAAGCCATTTGCGCTTGGAACCAGATTGGCCCTCAATTTTACTCATTTGCGATGAAATCAATCAGAAAGATGTCACGTATGTCATGCAACAAAATGAAAATATAAAATTTCTTTATATTTAATGAATTTTAACATTTTGAAATGCAGTCCAAAAAATGCGTTTATCGCAATCAAAAAGAAAATGAACTCACCGAATCCACATTCGGCATGCTACTCCCTGCTGGTGCTGGAGAGCATTGTGAAAAACTGCGGTGCTCCCGTCCACGAGGAGGTCTTCACCAAGGAGAACTGTGAGATGTTCAGCAGCTTCCTGGAGCTGACACCGCACGAGAATGTGCGCCAGAAAATGCTCGAACTTGTCCAGACCTGGGCCTATGCATTTCGCTCCTCCGACAAGTATCAGGCCATCAAGGTGAGCAATGCAGCTGCACTGAATTGCTACCGTTATGCAATGAAGTTCTGCTTATTATGAATTGATTTATTCATGCTTACAGCTTTGTAGCGTTTCTATACAATTAAGTTATTAAGTTGACCCGTGCGAGTTCAATGTAACGATGTTTGACTGTATCTTACTCAACCTCTAATTGAATTAATGAACGAACATTTTCCTATTGTTTGTTCTATTGCAAATATAAACTTGTTATTCGCATTTTGCAGGATACTATGACCATACTCAAGGCCAAGGGACACACATTTCCCGAGCTAAAGGAAGCGGACGCAATGTTCACTGCCGACACGGCGCCCAACTGGGCCGATGGCAAGGTTTGTCATCGTTGTCGCGTTGAGTTTACCTTCACCAATCGGAAGCATCATTGCCGCAACTGTGGTCAGGTGTTTTGTGGCCAGTGCACGGCCAAACAGTGTCCGCTGCCCAAGTATGGCATTGAGAAGGATGTGCGGGTCTGCGATGGCTGCTTTATGTCGCTGCAGCGTCCGTTGGGCACCAAGGCAAGCACTCGTGTGGCGGACAGCGATTTGCCAGCGGAATATCTGAATAGCTCATTATCACAGCAGGTGCAGGTTGGTTTTTCTATTTGCCCCAAGCAACAAACTGAACTAATTCTGGACTTGATCTTCATTTTGCTACGTAGACGCCGGCGCGCAAGACCGAACAGGAGCTGAAGGAAGAGGAGGAACTTCAGCTGGCACTGGCGCTCAGTCAATCGGAGGCGGAGCTAAAGAAGCCACAACCACAGTCGCTGGCCAGCTATCGCATGCAGCAGCGTTCACCGAGCCCTGAGGCGGCACAGCCGCAAATGCCAGCACAGCAGCTGCAGCAGCAGCAGCAGGAGGAGACCAATCCCGAGCTGGCAAAATACTTGAACCGTGTCTACTGGGAGCAGCGGAAGATTAGCGAGTCCTCCTCCATGGCCAGTCCATCGGCGCCCAGTCCCATGCCGGCGACACCGCAACCCCAACAACAGCAGCAGCAGCTGCTACAATCGCTGCCAATGCCAAAGAATGCGGATGAAGTGCAAATTGCTGAATTCGCTGCCAATATGCGCACCCAGGTGGAGATCTTTCTCAATCGCATGAAGTCCAATTCGAGCCGTGGACGCAGCATTTCCAATGACTCCTCGGTGCAGACGCTCTTCATGACGCTCACCTCGCTGCACTCGCAGCAGCTGACGTACATCAAGGAGATGGACGACAAGCGCATGTGGTACGAGCAGCTGCAGGATAAGCTGGCGCAGATCAAGGACTCGCGTGCCGCGCTCGATGTGCTGCGACAGGAGCACGTCGAAAAGTTGCGTCGCATTGCCGAGGAACAGGAGCGTCAACGTCAACTACAAATGGCCCAAAAACTGGAGATTATGCGCAAGAAGAAGCAGGAGTATTTACAATATCAACGACAGCTGGCCCTGCAGCGCATCCAGGAGCAGGAGCGCGAGATGCAGCTGCGCCAGGAGCAGCAGAAGGCCCAATATCTAATGGGCCAAACGGCACCCTTTCCCTATCTACCGCCCACAGCAGTGGCCCCCACACATGGCTCACCCTCGCATCAAATGAACAACGTTTATAATCCCTACGTAGCAGCCGCTGGCTATCCAGCACCCAATGGTCATGGTGTGGCTCCATTTGCCACCGGCATACCACCGCCAGGCATGTACAATCCAGGCATGCCGCAACCTCAACACGTTCCGGGCATGATGATGCAACCACCGCCAAATATGATGCCGCAGCAGCAACCACAACAGCTACCCGAGAATCCCCAATACCCCAATCCTAATCAGGCCATGTTAGCTCAGCTGCCACCACAACAACAGCAAGTTCCACCTCAGCCTCAACCGCAGCCACACCTGGCTCATGTTATGCTGCAGCAACAGCAAATTGTTCAATCACATCCTCCAATTGCCAATAACCAAGCACCACCGCAACAGGCTGCACCACCACCAGCTGCTGCTCCTCCTGCTGCTATTGCTGCTGCTGCTGTTGATATGAGCAACACACAAGTGCAGGCGGTGGCTGCTGCACCGGCACCACCACAAACCGAACCCGAGCCGGCTGCTGCTGCTGCTAAAGCCGCCGAGCCCGCAACAGCGGAGTTGATTTGCTTCGATTAGACCACAATTGTTAACGTTCTTTTATACACACACACACATACTTATATATATATAAACTAATCAAACTTTGTTATGGCTTCCAACTCCTTGCTCAAATTATCTAAGAACTAAATTGTATTGTGGCATGCCTTGTAAAATCTGGCGATTTAGAGCAAGGATTTGGAACTTGAACACAGACTTATTGTAATCACCAAGTGTAACCACCAACTGAGGAATGAATTATGCAAATGTTATTCCAAAAAGAACAGAACTTTCTTATTGTATTATCGTAGTCAAAACAGATGTGTCCTTATTACTTTTTGTTATATTTGTCTTGTGTCTTGTTTTACGAATTGAAATTCACCTTAATTTAGAAATAGTTTCATTCCGGCGTTTCTTATTTGAATTATAAATATATATTTTCGATTTACAGTCATTGGATTCAATTCACAAATATCTCTTCGAAAATGAAAAAGAAACGAGTCTGAGTAAGAAAAAATAAATATAATTCACATCGATTTGTCTACTTAAATGAATTTTAACTAAAATAAATAATTATTAACGATAATTATGCACTTTAAATTCACAAGTTTATTCCATATGGAAATTTGACGAAGAAACACACTTTAAACAAGGAGGAGTTATTATAATTTTGTGGTGCCAATTATCATGTTAATTTGTAACCATTCTTATAACATTCTGTGTTTTTTCATGTCATCGAGGCAGTTATTATCATAATGATAGTATATACATATATATATATATGTATAAATATATCACTAAATTTGAATAATCTGCAAATCAGATTGACCTACAGCAAAGCCTATGCTGTTCCCGCATTTTTAAACTATTTACTTAATTACTTGGCATTTGAGAGTGCATCAACTCCTGGCAGTTTTTTGCCCTCGAGCAGCTCCAGTGCAGCGCCGCCGCCCGTGGAGACATGTGAGACCTTGTCGCTGCCACCAAATTTCTTACAAGCCGTTGCTGTATCGCCACCGCCGACAATTGTGGTGGCACCACTCTTGGTGGCGCAAATAATTGCCTCCAACATGTTTTTGGTGCCACCAGCGAATTTGGCATTCTCAAAAACACCCGGCGGACCGTTCCATACGATGGTCTTCGCCTGGACAATGGCAGTGCCGAATAGCTGCATTGATTTCTCGCCTATGTCCAGACCCATGAAATCCTTGGGCACGCCCTGCTTTATATCAACGGTCTTGATCTCACCTGGATCTTTGTCGATCCGTTTGGCACATTGGAAATCGACGGGAAAAAGTATTTCCACTTTCTTATCCTTGGCCTTCTTTAGAATGCCGTCAATCAACTTGAAGCCATCTTTATCAAAAAGTGATTTACCAATCTCCATGGAATTGGCGACCTTCAGAAATGTAAAGGCCATGCCACCAGCGATAATCATTTGATCGACCTTGTTCAGCAGATTATTAATCAGCGGTATCTTGTCAGCGATCTTACCGCCACCCAATATGGCCATGAATGGTTTTTGTGGATTTTCCAGTGCCTTGGCAAAGTACTCAAGCTCCTTGTCTAGCAGGAAACCGGCGGCACGCTTCTCATAGCCCTCACCCAATATGGAGCTGTGAGCTCGATGGACCGTTCCAAACGCATCGTTCACATAGATATCGCCTAGTTGAGCTAACTTAGCGCGAAAATCTTTCACCTTTTCCGGATCTACTTTAATCTTCTTATTGTTTTTATCATTGCAGCTGCCCGTTTCCTCAGCATAGAATCGCAGATTCTCGAGGAGTACCACGGCACCCTTTGGTGGATTTTTCAGTGCATCCAATGCTATTTCACCAACGCAGTCGTCTATAAAGCACACCGGCTTCCTCAACGCCTTCTCCAGTTCTTTGGCAACAGGCTTAAGTGAAAATTGCATATTCTTTTCACCGTCCGGACGGCCCAGGTGCGAAGCCAGTACCTGGGATCGTGTAGAAACGTTATTCAGCCCATAATTTCCTAGATACTTTATTGGGATTACCCACCACAGATTTGCACTCCTTTTCCAGCACGTATTTAATACTTGGCAGGGCAGCCAAAATACGCTGATTGTTGATTATTTTACCATCCTTCATGGGTACATTAAAGTCGACGCGCATGAAAATCCGTTTTCCAGCCACATCCACATTTTTTAGACTCAACTTCTTTGGCATTTTTTCGTCGCCTTTGCACTCATCAGCTTTGTCGCCATAATTTCGAGTTTGTTGAAATTTCCAACCAAAGTTAACACATGTATTTGATGTAAATACTGATGTGAATACGGTGAACAACTTTTGATCCAAATGTAACATTTTCATTAAATATGAGTAAAGTGTTTAGTAGAAAATTTCAACAAAAAATGTCCGTTATGTCATAATTTTAATCCAAACGATGTGAGTACTTCTAGTTCATATTTACCAATAACAAGCCACTTTTATGAAATAATACATATTCAGTAGATATTCTAGTTTCTACGCTTTAAATAAAATTGCTGCTAGTTGGTTTTATTTATTTTTAATTCGCGGCTTATCATATGCGATCATTGTTATCGTAACGACGATAATTGTTGCGAATTTGTGGTGGTTGCCGATAAATTTGCTTAATTTATCAGCTGTGCTTCATTGCTCAACCAAAGATAGTACGCTGATTTTGCAAGCTAATCGAAGATAAGTTCTTTGACAGTAATAATATAATAATTATTAACTATTATTCAATTCTTGTAATTTTGTCTTTTTACTTTTCTATTGATTTGCACAAACAAGAAAATAGAGATGCACTTGTGCTAACTAAAATAGTTCAATAATAACAGGAGATGTGTTGAGCTGCATACTCAGCCTGTCATATGTTGCAAAAGAAAGGAGGGAAACACAACAACGCTTTTTTATATTATAACTTAATATTGTACTGAAAGATCAACCAATCCCAACATGGGTGGCGGTGATTTGGTGAGTAGACGCATCCCAACCAAATACCAGTCCAAATTTAATTAAACGCCAATTTCTACATTGAACAGAATCTAAAAAAATCATGGCATCCTCACACGATGAAGAATCAGGAGCGTGTTTGGAAAGCGGAACAGGCGAAACAAGAGGAACAACGCAAATTGGATGATTTACGCAAGGAAATCAACGAGGAACGGGATCGCGAGGAGCTGCGACGCATTGGCGAAAACTCAGGCGTTCTCGCAGGCAACGTCGGCGGCGAAGCGAAACTCGAATGGATGTATAAAAGTAAGAGAACGAAATAATCTTAATTTAATTCTAAACCATATGTGAATTTGCAGACAGCGCCGAGCTAATCAATCGGGAGGAATATCTGCTGGGTCGCAAGATAGATAAATCGTTTGAGCAGCTGCAGTCCGAGGAGCGCCGCCAAGAGCCTAGTGCCCTGGGCCTCAAGCAGTCCATAAACCATGTGGAGCACGAGTGTGTGCCATTCTCTATACGTGAATATCGTAATCTGCAGTCCACCGAGCAGGTGGACATGCAACGCAAGACACTGGAGGATCCACTGATGCTTATCAAGCAGCGGGAAATGGAATCGCGACGCAAACTGCTAGAAAATCCAGTTAGACTAAAGGAAATCCATCGCATACTCAAAACCGAGCAAGAGCAGGCAACGAAACGCAACAAAAAATCCAAAAAGAGCAAGAAGTCCAAGAAGAACAAGCACAAAAAGGGCAGCAGCAGCAGTAACAATGAGGACAGCGACGACAGCAACGATGATCTGGACAGAAAGCTGGCAAAGCAGATGAAGAAACTGAAAGGCGAGAGTACAAACGGTGACTTCAAGCTGGACAAACTGTTGGATGCCAAATATCGCACATTGACCAAACAGCTGGACATGGCCACCACCAAGCCAAAGCAAAAGAAAAAGTCGCGTAAACGCAGCGATAGCAGTGAGAACAGTGAGCAGCGCAGCGAAGAGGAGGAACGTGAACAGACCAGAGAAAGGCGAGGAAAACATGTGCCAGTGGAGCCTCGAGAGAGTAGAGCAAGACATGGCCAAAGCAACAGCAACGCCGATGAGCGAACGAAGCGCAGAGAGCGGGAGCAGGATGTGAGAAGGCATCATGAAGCCAGCAATAGCAGACGGCGACGAAGCAGAAGTCGCAGTCTACGCCGAGCACAACAAAAACCACAGCGTCGAAGAAGTCGCAGTGCTGAGAAACAGCGACCACAGCGGATCAGGGAACGCAGCGGAGAACGTGTCAGAAAACATAGCAGAGAACGCAGTGGAGAACGGATCAGGGAACGGAGCAAGGAGCGTAGTCGGGATCGGCGTCGACGTAGTCGCACTCCAGAAAAACAACAACAAGAACATCGCCGTAATCCCAGCCCTCCAGCTGCACGTCAGGCCGCCAAATCCAAGCTGAGCGACCACGAGCGCGAAGCACGTCTGCGCGAGATGATGGAGAATGCGACGTGGCGTGAGGCGGATCGCACCAAAGTCGTGCACAAGCATCGCGAGGAATATGCGCGCGAGGAGGCTCAGAATCAGGCACGCGATTTTGACAAACAGTTCATCAACAAGGAGGTGAAGAAGGCCATTGACAATCAGACCTCCATTGGTAATCGCATCCGTTCCAATCTGAACAATATTCAACGTACCTCGGCTGCCATGGACTCCAATTTTGCACGCAAATAGCAAATGGGAAAATCCCTAGCCCTAAGTTTCTAGTATTAGGCTATATGCAATGGAACATTTAGAAACTCCTAAAGTGACTCAACTTAAGGTTCGAATGTGTAGCAATTATTGTCAAGATTGATTGATCAGATTAAAAATTATATATACAATATAATATCCGATTATTTTAGATATATATTGTAGTATACGTCACTATTACTTAAACTTTTTGAAACAAGTTGGAAACAAGATTCTACTTCGAAATTGATATGGGGAAGTTAAAACTTTGAAAAACCATAGATTAGTTAAAAAGTGACCCGAAATAAATCTACATTTAAGTTTGGAAACGCATTTCTGACTCGAGATTCATGCGCAAATTTCCGAAAAGAATTATTTAGGAAGCGGTCAAAGCTTTCCAAAACCGTAACTTTGTTAAAAATGACTTGTTTTTGAAAATAGCAGAGATTTTCCATCATGACATCTACATAAATATAACAATTTACGAGTTAGAGCTTAATTTAATTATACACAGTCAAGGTGGGTCTCTTTACTACAGCAAGAAAATATAGAGAATGTAATTAGTATATGAAGATTTCTCGAAAGTGGAATATGGATGAAATAACAGCAGCTATTGTGTAGCTATTTAACTTAGAATTCACTTTATTATTGAACTTTGGGGGCTTACAAGGTAAACGACGTGTCGAGGCGCAGCAGCGACACGTTTAACGATTAGTTATTTCAGAGAGATGTTTTTGAGTGGTTATTATTGGGGATTAAATCGGATGTCACTTAGGCATTGGATAAGGCAGCGACGCCAGGCAGTGTCTTGCCCTCGAGCAGCTCCAGTGAAGCACCGCCGCCGGTGGAGACGTGCGAGACGAGCGCCTCGGTGTTCCACTTGGCGCAGCACGAGGCAGTATCGCCACCGCCAATGATGGAAACGGTGCCATTCTTAGTGGCAGCCACAACACCATCCATAATTGACTTGGTGCCATTGGCAAAGTTGGGAAACTCAAAAACGCCGGGTGGTCTAAAAGCAAAAGGAACAATTGAGGTAAATTTGACTCAACTCGTATATATAAGAATTAGGCTATGAACACTGATGACGACGACTTACCCATTCCACACAATAAGCTTGGCACGCGCAATTGGCGCGGCGAAGAGTGCGCGTGATTTGGGACCCACATCGAGACCCATGTGACCGTCGGGAATGCCGCTCTCGACGCTCGCCTCGCTGACGGTGGCATTTTCCGCGAACTTGTCGCCACAAACGAAATCAACCGGCAAATGCAGCTGCACATTGTTTTTCTTGGCCTTGTCCACCAGCTTCTGAACGATTTTGGATCCCTCCTCATCGAACAGCGAGCCACCGATCTTCATATTGTTGAGCACCTTGAGGAAGGTGAAGGCCATGCCGCCACCAATGATCATCTCATTGACCTTATCCAGCAAGTTCTCGATCAACTGAATCTTATCGGCGACCTTGGCGCCGCCCAGAATGGCCAGGAAGGGATTTGGTGGCTTGTCCAGAGCCTGAGAGAAATATTTCAGCTCCTTGTTGAGCAGCAAGCCGGCGGCACGCTTCTCATAGCCATCACCCATCATAGAGCTGTGGGCGCGATGCGCCGTGCCAAAGGCATCGTTCACATAGACATCGCCTAGTTTGGCCAGGCTGCTGCGGAACTCTTTGACCTTAGCGGGATCGGCCTTCACCTTAGCGCCGCTGCCATCAACACCCTTGCCTTCTTCCTCCAAATAGAAGCGCACATTCTCCAGCAAAATAACAGAACCAGCTGCTGGATCCTTGCAAGCAGCCTCTACCTCACTACCGATGCAATCGTTCAGGAATGTCACTTGTTTGCCGAGCAACTTGGTCAGCTCCTCGGCGACGGGGGCCAGCGTATACTTGAGATTCTTGTTGCCATCGGGACGACCCAGATGGGACATAAGCACCACTGACTTGGCCTTCTTCGACAGCGCCAACTTGATGCTGTCCACGGCGGCAACAATGCGCTGATTGCTCGTAATCTTGCCCTCCTTGATGGGCACATTGAAGTCAACGCTGCAAAGAATCACAAAGGGTGGAAAAATTGGTTTTATGCAATATGCAGCATTTTATAGTTAATTCGTCACTCAATTTACCGCATCAGGACGCGTTTGCCCTCCAAATCCAGATTCTCGATGCTCAATTTATTGAAGGCCATTTTTGTAATGCTTGCCAAATGGTTTCCAGCAAACTTCTGGATAATTTTCGTTTGTGCGAATGCGACTTGACCCACAGCTGTGCGGCAATGTCAGTGCAAGGTCATTATTGCCCAATTCAAGATTAGGGTTGCCAGTACACTCCAAATAATGCCGCAACTACAAAATACCCAACCAAACCGTGATGAAAATGTTGCAGCCAAATTAAATCAATTACTCAAATTGTAAATTATTATTTCAAATCAATTTTAAAGTTATTAGCAGACTCCTACTGGTTTTAAATCGTTGGCTGTTCAAATCGATTGCAACACTGTCAAGTGTGCTGTACAACGTTTATGTGCAGTGCTGTAAAGTGACGCCCGGTCGTGCTTGAATTTGTCTGGCGGACAATTCAAATCAGAGACAAATAAATTAATTGATGAAGTGCTTGAAAAAAAAAAACCATATAAAGTATAGTACCAAAAGTATCGAATTCGATGGATTGCCGCAGGATCTTTCCGAATGTCGTTCTTGGTTTTGTAAAATTGTTTCCATGGTGGTCCTGGTGATTAACCATTCAGTTACAATATAAATCTTTATTTTTTCTCAGTAAATAATTATCACTTAAATAATACATATTTCTTGCCACTGCACCAAGAAAGCACACACAAAGCAATGTGAGTTTGCAATTGTGTATTGAATAAATGAATGAATGAATAGATGCTTGTAAGCCAATTGTGCACAGTTGGCGTATTTGCAAACATAGCAAATTACATACATACATTTCTTTTTTACACTCGACCACAGCACACAGTGGAGGCACATACATAAATAAATACACATACATACAAGCATACAGTTAGATATGATATGACGCCAACATTTGCTCTTCACAAATGATTCATTCATGTGCTGCTCACCACTCACCACTCTGCTTGGGACTCTCCGGCCTCTGTCTCTTTTGGCGTACAACCACCAAAACACCCAATCTCCCCACAAATCCCCCTCTGAGCATTCCCAATGCAAGCCAATTGCATGACGCAGATGCCAACACAAAAGCAGGCAACCAAACAGGCCTGAATTGCAGCATTTTCTCACGCCGGCCAAAGAAAGGCGACATGGATGGAGGGGAAGGTGCTGTCTTCTGTGTTCACTTTCTGCGCAATTAAAGCAATCGGCAAGAATGACCTCAATTAATAATGATAACAAGCAGTTATGCGATGTTTTACATTTTAAATTATACGTATACTTTTCATATATTTTAAGAAAATTAAACATCAAGAATTAATACAAATTGAATTATTGCATGTAAAATGCACGTTTGGCGTGCGAGTCGTGAAAAGCGTGTGTAAAGGTGTAAAAGTGTAGGGTATTTCGTAGTTCATCTCATCAACTTCAACAACGAAACGCGACTTGCACAGAATGGCGACCGTGTCAAAGCGACGAATGTCAAAGCGATGACGAGCGCTTTAAGCGACCGTTTTGGGCGCCGCTTATCAGACAAAACTCCCAAAACTGTTCTCCACTTAACATTGCCCTTGTCGTGCAGTGTAGTTGTAGTTGTAGTTGCTGTTGCTGCTGTTGTTGTTGAGTGTAGTCGTAAACCAGTTCATGTTGTTGTATTTTTATTCATGCTTAATGAAATGAACTCGGCATGGAGTATTAAGATGCCCTCTAATATGGTCACATAATAGTGTTTACTAACTTATCTCGATTGTTTTACAATTTCCTTTAGAAAATTCTTATTTTCGATGCATAGCACGTCTTGTAAATAATAACCTGTTTTCTGAGAATTCATTGTTTTTTTGTATGGCATGCTTGTAAAACCATAAAAACCATTCGATTTAAATATAGAAAATAGCGCTTCAATTTTTAATTGTCTACTGTACAACTACGTATGTATGTGTATATATATTTCTATATCACCTTCATTAATTTCCATAGCTTAAAGTCTTTTATATTGTTTCTGTATGTGCATCAAATGCTATTTACATCTACGCGCTGAGTGCTTGCTTTAAATAGAAATATAAAACATCTATTCTAAATGAATCGTGACACACGCCTTTTGCACAAAACTAAGCAAAATCTTCACAATCTTGTTATAAAGCTATTAGCCATACACATACACCAATGTATGTATATGTAAATATATAAAAATATATATATATGTATATAAATGTGTGTGTGTGCATATAATCACATACGTTTGAAAATGAATCGATTACTTCCACTAACACATTTTTGGTGCATGCTTCAACAGAAGCAGAGTGTTAATACACTGGAAACAAAAAAGTTAACGCAAATAGAAGATTGTTAATAATAGACATGCTCCGATTAGATTATATTAGATTCAAACGCCATATCTTCGCGACAAATATATATATTTTAAATATGACATACATATTGCTTTCCTTCTGGGCAAAAAATGTTGCCTCGATTACCTGAATATGTTTTTTTCGACTACTTCTGGAAATTTCCCTGCAAAATTTCTAGCGTTGTGTCCGAAAAATTGCCTGAAAAACGTTTGCGCCTTTCTTATCGCAATTCTCTGAAACAACAGCCCTTAAACCAGGGTTTGTTTTCATTTCCTTTAACCTTGAAAAAATAGTGGTCGTACATGGAATACGTGTAAACTACATGTAACGGGCATATCTCCCTGGCTAGATTATAGAACGATTGTTGAGGTAACCGGAACATTTGTTATTTCTCACTATCGTAACGTTTATTTCGTATCTCCACTGTACGGTGGAACAGCGAACGCCATGACGCTCAAAACAATACTGAAAAGAGTCACGCCAAATGCAAAGGAAAAAGAAAACATTCAAGAAAATGAAGACGCAAATCGGCTCACCAAGAAATTGTTAAGGCTTTCCGAAGTCACAGTGCAAATAACTGATGCCGTTTTTTGTTGCCTTTTTTTTTGCGTTTTGCGCTGTTTAAATATGATAACTCAATGATTGTGCCACGATTACAGGTGTTGTTGGCAACAATATATATGAATGCCGACTGTCATCCATGTTGACGATGGGGAGGTCGACGTTGTCGTTGCCGTCGTCGGTTTTAATTAGCGAGCTGTCGCTTGCGAGTCTCTCCCATGTTATTCAGATTACAAACTATACTTATTTGTTTTGCATAAAAATAGCAGAAAAGAAACAACGACTGTGACAGCCAGCAGCGCAGTGCTTCAAATAAGTAATGAGACACAATGCCGACTAGCAGCGACTACAAAAACTGTAAACTGAAGAGACTAGCTGCCAGCGACATTATCAACAACAAAAACAACAACTACTACAAAAACAGCAAGAATAGTAGTGGAAAACGTTAGCTCATTAGTCAATTCCTGAACCAGCGTGGTTCGTGTAACGAACAGAGACAGCAAATTGTCGAACCACATATGTGGGATCAACTGAAAGAAATGAAAGATGCATAACGTGTACAAAAAAAAAAAAAAAACAGTGAGGTGAACCTTGTTCAATCTAATGTGTTTGAAAATTAGCTCAAATTTAGACTTTTTTTCACTTAGGCTAGAAAAAATATTCAATACACGTGTATGTTAAGATCCGAAATATATATGTGTATAGTGTATAGTTAAAGTCAGTCATGGTATATAATTAGTAACTCAACTAAACTAAAATATACAATTTAACATACATATTTAAAGCTAGGGGTTTCCATCATTTCAATATTTAATATAACTACTTTAGGTTATATAGAAGCGGCTGATAGCTGCAATGGGTGTCATCAGTAATCATTCGATTGACCTGATTACTTGTATGTTTTGTGGTCCACTCTACAAATATGTGTGGTGGCACAAACAATAAGTGAAACACTGCCGCTAAGAGTATGCAACCCAAACACACAGAACATACACACGCTAAAGTTGCGCGCCCGGCCAGCCGCTGTTGCTGCTGCTGATTTTGTTGCGGCTGCTGCTGCTGGCAATACAAGTGTCGCCCCCTCTCTGAGCACCCTGCTCCCAGCTCCATAAACGTCTAACGTCGCGTCAAGCAGCACTCCATGGCGAACAACAACTACAACAACAACCACCATCGTCGGCGACGACGACAACAACTCTAACAAGCAGCAACTGCGGCGGCCGGCAATTTTCAAATTTACCGCCAAACGTGCCAGCGACGTCGACGTCGCCGTTGGCTGTGCTGTACTCACTCACGAGCAGAAAGCGCATTTTATATGGGATGCGTCAAGAAACCCACTCGAGCTGTGAATTTATAATTTCAGCTTGATCGTAGCGCAATTATTGAGATGCCAAATTGACGAGGACACTAAACTCTACCGATTCCCAGCAATTTGTGCGGCATTCAAATAAAGATTAACACGTAATGGATGAAAATGTGAGACGCTTAAGCAGTTCAAGAAGACACTGCCCGCTATCTGTAGGCGGCCCGTGTGCGATGGTAAATTCAGTCTTGTACGAGCCGTCAACGGGTACACATATCGGTGGTCAGTCAGAAGCGAGAAAAAATACAAAATACTGAAAAATAATCAGCAAATGCAGCACTCAAATATACCACACGAAAAACGCAATCGTAGAATTTTTGCATATTTGTTTGCCGCGCTGAAACTATCTTAAATAATATTTTATTATTATTATTATTTTTATCAAGAAAATTATTGCGCACAATTATTTGTAGAATCGGTCAGCAGTCGCTGCTGGTGGGTCGTTCGAACGGATGGTCGGACGGGTGGCCGCTGGGGGCAGGCAGCGTTTTTTGTTATTTTGTTCTCGCCTCCGTTACCTGGGCTAATGTTGTTGTTGCCTTCTCTTCTCCACATTGCCAACTGCTGCTGTACAAACGCCGCCGTGGTTTTTGTTCAGTGTATTGCATACATGACAGAACGATAGAGCGTGAGCGAGAGAGTGAGAAGGTGACAGTGACAGTTGCGCCCGGCGTTAAGCGTGAGCGTGAGTGATAAGCGAGCAAACAGCGGCCGGTCCGTACGAAAGAGAGAGAGGGAGCGAGCTAGCGAGAGAGAGTTTGGAAAAAACGAGAGTCAGCCTGTATATGTGTGCGTGAGTGCGCTGGTTTTGTATCTGTTAAATACACACAGCCTGGCAGCAATTCAGACAGTGTGTTTGTGTGCTTCGTGCGGTGCTGTTCTCGTTTTTTCCTTCCTCGGAACAATCTACATCTATTTTGCGCTAATTTTTGTCAACAACCAAAAGAAAACATATATATACTCATATACTTTTATATCTTAAACAACAGCAATAAAATATAATCGTTCGAACGGATACTGAAATTCACGTGCGCATTAATCTTATTACAACCAAACAACCTACAATATAACGGACCAAACGCTCGTTATATAATTGTACAAAAATAATAAACAACAAAGTTCAAAAAACAACAACAAACAAACAAAAACAAAATGTCTGCAGCCACAGAACAACAGAACAACGGTGATGTTGCCGTCGAGAAGGTTGCCGCAGTCAGCGCCGACAGCGATGCGAAGGAGGATCTCAAAGCCAAAGCCAAATCAGTTGCCGATGATAAATCGACGGCCGCTGATGCCGCTGGCGATGCGGCCGATAACGGTACTGCGGCCAAGGATGGCGAGGATGCTGCCGATGCGGCAGATGCTGCTGCTCCCGCCGCTCCCGCAAAGGGTTCCGTCAAAGGCGCAAAGAGGCAAGCTGAAGTAAGTAAAAAGCGAAGACCCAAAAACCATAATATTCTTGCAACATAAAAATTTCTTTTGATCTGATTTCGCATCGTACAGTTTCCTAATCAGTCGCTAGTTTCTCTCTGTGTATGTATCCATGCTTGCTTGTTTAATAACAAAACAAACGAATGCACTTGTCATCGTCATCGTTGTTTTCTTCTCTCTCTCTATGTTCTATTCTCTTCTCTCAGCGTGGATTGATGCGCGTTTATCGATCGCGTTATCGAACGCGCTTCTCAGTGCTAATCGATTTTGTTATTGTTATAGATTTTTGTTTATCAGCAACTTTTTTGGTTTAATTTTTTTTTTGCCCTTTTTGCGTAAATGATTCATCGAAATTACAAAAATCTGGCGTCAAAAATAAAATTGCTAGAAATAGATATACATACGTTTTTTTTTTTAGTTTCGGTCGCCTTTCTAACATTCAACGGCCGATAGCAGCCCAAACGAGAGTGACAGAGAGAGAGAGAGAGAGAGCGAAATAATAAAAGAGTGCAAGCTCATTTATATACTAATACATATGTATTTATTGTATATTGAGTCTGTGTGTGCGTGTGTGAGAGTTGTTTACGATTAAATTAAGATGATTGCGAGGTGGTAATCAAAGATTATTTGTTGTTCTCGGTTCAATTGAGGTTAGGCTCTGTCTCTAATAATCATTGGGGTACAGTTTGTTGTGAGCAGAGTGAAGTATACAGTGAGAGAGAGAGGGAAGAAAAGAACAAAAACGAGTAAACACTCTGGAATAGGTCATTAGCATTGCACAGTGAGACAAAAGCAGCGAGACGCAAAAAGTTTAAAAGAGATGAAAGCTTTTAACGGCCTTGTAACAAACACACACAGTTTGTGTGCATTTTTGTGCTAAACACAAAAACAATGGAAATCAAGAATTTATATTTTGAGGCAATTGAGACTCTTTTACAGCTTTGGTAATTGCTCTTTTTGACTTTTGGTCTGGCCAAAGTTGCACAGCAACAAATGGACAATAACAACAAATTGCGCGCCAGCCAAAATGTTGCACTCTCAGCTAAAAACAATGCCGGCCGGCAACGGCAGCTATCCGCCATATTACCAAAGAGAGCAAGAGTATGTGAGGGAGAGAAAGAGAACCAGTTTAGTTTGTTCTTCTGTTTTAATGATTTGTTTTTATTTTATTCATTTAATACCATAATCGAAAAGGCGCATATTTCTGATAAACATAAAAATAGCCATAAAAGAATAGAGTACGAGGTATTTGGAATAAATTATCAATTTTGTCACAAACAAATAAAAATGTACAGTTTAACACGCTCTCTCTCCCTCTCTCGCTCGCTTGCGCTTCTCTCTTTCGCTTGCGCTCTTTTCTTCTCTATTATGCGCTGCTCTCGCAGCACGACGCTCTACGACGTGTAATTTCTTATGTACACATTCAGTATACAGGCTACGGGTATATGTTGTTGTTTGTGTATGAGTTCATTTACATGCATTTATCTTTCACTTTTTTCATCTTATGCGTATTTATTTTGGTACATTTATGTGTACCAAGTGTTTATGTATGTGTATATAAAAACAATCCATTTACAGGGTGGCTCAGCTTTCTTTTAATGGAATATGCAGATAATCTAGCGGATTTAGTCAATTTCAAAGAAACTGTTGCCTACTCTTTAGCAGCCAGACTTGATTGGAATGTCTAAAGTTATTAATAATTTAAAAAATCAAAAAATGGAGAAAATAAAGTTGAAATTCATGCATTAATTTATGTAATCAGAAACTATAAATACTCGAAAAAGATTTCAAGAAAATGTATTGCTTAACTATTATTTTATTACTGTCATTTTAATACATACATTTGAAGTTATCTCGGATTTCTTTTCAATATTCATCTGCCAAGAGATATTAGTAGTACAGTAAAACAGCGTCCATCATTGATGCTTGTTTATTTATTGCCTGGCGTGCTACTAACATAAGTATTTTTCTTTTCTTCCGTTTCTTTTGTTGTGCTTTGGGCGAGTTCGCCGCATATTTATTTTGCACACATTTCTACAGTTATCTTGTTTTCTGCTTTGTAACAATCGCTCTTAAATGCTGTCTTCGTCGCACAAATACACACACAATCACTCATACTTACATACTTACAAACACATGTATGCGCAAGATTATGTATTACAAGCGCTTTCTTTCGCTAGGGAACGTGACTGCTTTATATACTTGCCCTGTTGTTGGTTGGTTAACTGAGTTTTGAACCCACGCAGCAGCAGCAGATGAACACACACCAAAGCAGCGACGCTGGCTTCGTCGTTGTCGTCGGTCAACGATTGCGCCTTTTTATTTTGTCTGCAGCAGCTGTCGTGCTTATGTGTATGTGTGTGCGTGAGTTAGTCGTTCGTTCATTCATAGAGCGATTGGCACGACGCGCACGTTCTCAGGTACAGTTCTGCCATAACAGCGCTGTGCGCGCGCTCTCTTTTATAGCTTCACTCACTCACGCTCACACTCACACACGCACATTAACGTGTAGCAGCTGCTGCTGCTGCGACCTAGCGTCGGCGTCGCTGCCTGCTGCTCGGATTGGTTTGCTTCGGTTTTGGTTCGTTTGTTCGGCTCTCGGTCACAGTGGGTCGAACGCACGCTTGGCTTGGCTGGTTTTGTATCTCACGGATGCGGATACATATGCCCGTTCCCCCACCTCCTCCACCCGAGTTGTTTTTCCATTATGTAGTAAATATGCCGTCGTATTTGTGTGCGTGTATGTGTTTGTATATAAGTGAGAGGTGCACTTGTAATGCGGCAATCTCTCGCTCGCTCGCTCTCCCTTTCGGCTGGTGCGTGCTGCTGCTGCTGCTTGCAGCGAATTCCAATGACGCGCGCATTTTTCAAATGCCTTTTTTACGGCGAAAATAACGATTTTTCTTTGCTGCTGCTGCCTGCCTGCTTTGCTACACAGTAAAAGGCCATTTTCTTGTTTTGTGGGCTTAAAATATACATTTTATGGGTATGTACACTCACACACACACATTCGCATGTGTGTAGGTGGCTAAGTGGAGGAGTGTAATTTGTATGTTGGTTTTATGTTTTGGTTTCCATGAACAATTCGCTTTGCCCTTGATCAAGGAGATGTGTGGGGTGGGTTTGAATTGGGCGCCCAGTCGCAGCCTTTGTTATCGATATATTTTACTTAACTAATGTCCCCCATCTCTCCACTCTTTTTACACTCCTTGCAGGCTAAATCCGCCGAATCAAAGAAAGCCAAGAAAGATAAACCCGCTGATGGCGATTCAGATGACGAGGAGGTATTAGATGATCTCATCGAGGGTGACAGCGAAATCGAGAGCGACGAATACGATGTACCCTACGATGGCGAGGAGGATGACATTGAATGTGACGGTAAGTTTCCATACCTCCTTCCTTCTTCCCCTATAATGCGGAAAAACTAACAATTGCATTTCCTCTCTCGAAACAGATGATGACGATGACAATGATGATGGTTCCGGCTCGGACGATCAAGCGTAATAATAATGTAGTCAAAACAAACAAACAAAAAAATAAAACAAACAAAAAAAATACAAAACAAAAATTTAAATTAATAATAAATAAAAAGTTACAAGCAAAAAAACAAAAACCGGAGAAAAGAAACCACACAAAAAAATCGCAAAAGTATATAATTCTTATGTTTAAGAAATAATTTTCTATTTCTTATTTTAATTTAAATTGTATTTTACGTGTACTTTTTTTATAAAAAATACTACAAAAAGAAAAACGTTTTGTTTTCGCAAGGGCGAGAAAACAAAAACAAAAAAAAAACAAACCGAGAAAAGTAAACATCCCCCCAAAAAAAAACTATACACAAAAAACAAAACAAAACAAAACCAAGCTCTTTCTTTCCTTTAAGTCATAAGTCTTAAGTTAAACGACAGATACATAGCATGATGAATGAGAATAAGAAGCAAAAGAAGGAAGAGAAGAAGAAGCAGAGGCGTAAATGGAGCCCCATGATTTACTTAAAAATAATAATACACAAAAAGAAAAGAAGAAAAAACAAACACACAGACACAAACACAAAAACAAAAACACGAACACAAACAAGTAATAAAAATTCATTATTAAAATTAGACGTTACATTTTATGAATGATCGAAAAGCAAACGTAATTAAAAAAGAAAAATATACAAAAACAAAAAAAAACACAAGTTTTCAAATATATGGTTTCAAAACATTTTTTTTTTGCGCCTACTTTGGCCACACTGACGCTCATTTACCGTTTGTCAACCTCCTCTCGCTCGCTCGCCCTTTCCCGGTCTCTGTGGTTTCGCGGGGGCGCAACGGGAAGTTTGATTTCCACTTTGAAATTTTGTTTGACATCGATTTCGCTGGGCGAACTTGAGGGCTTCTTTTATTTCAGCATTTACTTAACCCACTAACTATGACTACTCTATTTAAGTATTCAAAGTCAGTATTAAAATAATAAAAAACAATTAATAAAAATACATGACAAAAATCTATAGTTCTTAGTTAATAGAGCAAAACAAACAAAAAAAAAACACATTTTTGTTAATCAATCAATTAATGATGAAACTTAATTCAATTGTAAATTGTAAAGAAAACCAATCAAATACTGAGAATGCATTAAGAACAATTTAGAAAATGAAAAATCCCCTTTAATGTTATATATACATACTTACATACTAATATAAGCAGTAGGGGTAGATAAAAATCAACATGCCACACACATAAACACACACACACACTCAGAAAAAGCAATACCAATACTGAAATTTAAAATCTTAATTCTAATGACTGATATTTTGAAATGCAAAATTGAACCATCAATCAAATTGCATGACGGCAACATTTTATATTTGCTCCAAAAAATAAACAATTAACTGACCCACTCTAGCAGCCACAATATTAATGAGCATTTTGAAGGCAATATCAGGTCAAATACTGAAAAATACATATATATACATATATATGCCGTAACAATTTGATACCAAAACCATGTTGAACTCGTACACATTTTTTGTAAATAAAAGAGAAAAGAAAATCAAGAAAAAAAGCGAAAAAAAACACAAAAGTAAAATTAAATCGAACCAGTTGTAGTGAAAGATAGTTATTGAAAAAAAAACGAAAGAAAAATTGAAATAAAATATTGTAATTACGTAAAATGAGAGAAAAACAACAACACAACAACAATTGGCAGTTATCAGATGCCAATAAAACGAGTGTTTCAATTTTCTTGGGAGAGGGCAGCACAAAAACCACCCACCACTCAGTCTCCTCCCTCCCTGCTCCCGGGCAACCAGCCACAGTGAGAGAGATAGAGAGAGAGGAGGAAGAGAGACGGAGGGAGGTCATGCTGCTGTTGTATAGTAGGGGTAGTTATTCGAAAATATGTCTGTATCGCATATAAAGTACATACAAACATATGTGGTAGGTACATAATTCATTGATTTGCTGCCTGTAATCCTATCGGACTCTGTTTTCCCTTATATACGCACCAGGGTAGTTGAAAAACCCCTTTGCAAGACTCCCCAATTAAATCGAAGAGCAATTTGCAATGCTTCAATGTTTTTCTGATTTATGACGATTGGTTGTGTGCCTCCTTTTCAATTTGCAACAGCTTATAGAAAATATATTAAATGCAGACTGTCTTTTTAAATTAGAAACGTAATTATTGTGGTTCTATTGAGCTATCGATAAATGTACCTATCGCCGTTTAAAGTAGATACAAAGAAACACTCCAGTCAATTCCCATTGAATCTAGCTGAAAATAAATAATAAAACTGATTGATAATTGCAGCTAAAGCCCATCAGTTAGACTGAAAAATTAATTTTTTTGATTGTATTTTATATTTAATAATATCCAAAAATAAATAATTGAGCAAACCCAAATATTTCCCTTTAGCCTATTTTCAAATTTAAAAATAAGGGAAATTATGTTATCGATAAGTGCATATATCGCTATTAGTCATACACATGTTTAGCCAGGACACACACCCACAACGTTCAACATTCCGATTGACATTTAACCGGATTTGAGTCACAAATAAAACATAATTATAGATTAAATATTGCACTTTATGATAAAATCAATTTACGATTCTAGCTACTTTAAGTATATAGAGATGTTCACCGGGAATATGTCGCTCCATGCATTTAACAGCCTTAAACTTGAGTCTTGCCAACTGTTGGACTATTTCATCCGGTTTATTCTCGTGCAGCAGCAGCAAGTAGAGAACGCCGCCAGGTGATAGTATGTCATCCAATTGCTCCAGTAAAATGTCTGTCACCCTTCGCCCACGCCTGCCCCCCGCCCACGAATAGACCAGATTACGCTCTGTGGCTGAGGAGATCCCTTGCTGGTGGAGCAGCTCCTCATCACTGGTCACCACATACGGCGGATTGAAGAGCAGCAAATCGACGCAACGTCGTCGCAATCCATTTGTCAGATTGCAGCGAACGCTGTCCAACTTGGCACCATTGCGGGATGCAGTGCGTCTGGTTGCCTCGCAGGCCCGTGGATTAATGTCCGTGGCGAGGCAGTGGGCGGCGTGGGAGAGGCGCTTGGCCAGCGCAGTGATGATAACACCACTGCCCGAACCAATCTCGACGCACAGACGCGGCTGCAGCTGCTTCTCTAAGAACTCCAGATCTGCTTCGAGCGCGTCAAGCAACAGAAAAGAATCCTCCGCCGGCTCATAGACATGCTCATAGTCCGCCGCGGAGAGATGATCGGTGTACGGTGTCTCCATGTCTATGATATGTTCGTGCTCAGCGCCGAATCCAGTAGCGCCTGTCGCCTTCGCTGCTCCTTCTCGATCAGGCGATGGAGATTCGTTAAACGCTCCTGGCTGGTGCTCAGCACGTTGCTTATGATGGTCACCTTGTGTTTTACGTTCAACAGTTCCTTGACCTTCTCAGTGAAATCGGGTATCTGGTGTTGAGCCTTCTCAATGTCCCGCAACTGGGCCGCTAATGCGTCCAATTGTCCCCGCAGCTCCGATTGCAGTTGGATTGTGGTTGCCACGCGCTCGTCGAGCCGCTCAATGGTGGGCTTGAAGAGATTTGTGATGCCTTCGGCGAGTATGTCGCGTGTGGGATTTGTGCAGAAGTTTTCCGTATTTTCATCCAAGGAGGTCACCGTCGAATCGGAATCCTTATCCATTGCAAAACTTTTCCTATAAAATATGCTAAACCGATTGCACTGTTATCACAGTTCGATAACAAGCTCATCATAGAGATGAGCAAATTGCGCTGCACTGTTACTGCTCACTGTGACTTGCCCTAGTCACATGTGGTGAAATGTACAAAAACTGTTATTTTGTATTAGAGCATTTGTTTATTTTGCGTAATTAACCATGAAAATCAGTAATTTTCAAATGACTATCAGCCGTTCGCGATGTGATAAAATAAATCAATAATTTTGACATTTTCGGCAAGATTTGGCAAGTGTCATTACAGCGCTAAATATATCGGCCGATTGCCGACGCATATCGACGCACCGCCACAAATTCTTGCAACAGAAACAGCAACTTTGGTAATAGAGATATTAATTAAATGCTTTGATTACAACTAACTGCAAGCCGAACGCAATGGACACATATTCGGCGGATGTTGTATATCAAGCGATCAGTGCACTATTTCAAGGCACCAATCCCAAAGAGCAGGAGAAGGCAAACAAATGGCTGCAGGACTTTCAAAAATCGGTAAATTTTTGCCACACTTCGAGCGGAACACGGCATGATTTTCTTAGCACTTACGTTGCATGTGGCAAATAATTAATCATTTTGTATAATTAGATCTTCTCGTGGACCATTGCGGACGAGCTGTTGCATCAGAAACGCGATTTGCACGCCAATTACTTTGCCGCCCAGACGATGCGCAACAAAATACAGAATTCGTTCAGTGAATTGCCGCCGGAAACGCACGAAGCTCTCCGAGATTCGCTGATAACGCACATTGGCCAGATCGATGATCAGACAGACAGTGTGATTGTTACCCAACTGAGTCTGGCCGTCGCTGATCTGGCACTACTCATGGCCAGCTGGCAGGAGCCGATCAGTGATCTGTTAAAGGTGCTCGCACCGCATCCGGCATCAATTTGGCCGCTGCTCGAGGTGCTCAAGGTGCTGCCGGAGGAGATTGATTCACGATTTCTGCGACTGGGCGCCAACCGGCGCGAGGAGGTCCACAAGCAGCTGGACGCTAGTGCCGAGTGTGTGCTGGAATTTCTGTGCATGTGCGCACAGCGCGAGGATCTCGATCAGCAGCGGATTTGGCGAGCAACGTTATGCACGTACAGCGCCTGGCTGGTCATACACGCCTTCCCGCTCACCCACATCTGTGACAATGCGCTCTCCCAGCTCGCCTTTCGCCTGCTTAGCCAGCCGGCGGAGACGTCGGGCAAGCTGCATGACAATGCCACCGAATGTGTCTGTGCGCTGCTCAGTTGCATGGCCACAAGGAGCGGCAGTTTGGACGGGGATGCACAGGTGGCGCGCATCTTTGATGCCGTCTGCCAACTGGAGACGGCATATCATTTGAGTGTCGCCCACGAGGACACCGATAAGACGATTAACTATTGCCGCATCTTTACCACACTCTGCGATACGTTCTCGTTTGACATGTTCGAGCAGCAGCAGGCGATGAAGGGACTGGATTTAGTGCTGCTATGTGTCGGTCATTTCGATTATGAGGTCGCCGAGATCACATTTCATTTGTGGTACAAGCTCAGTGAGGATCTGTTCCAGCGCTACGATGACAAGCTGACGGCACGCTTTCGACCCCACATCGAGCGACTGATCAGCGCCCTTTATCGGCACGCACAAATGGAGAGCGATCACGACGGTCTCATCGAGGAGAATAACAATTTCTACGTAAGAATCAAGTTTAATTTGAGTCGGTTGGAATTTAAGCTGCTTTCCTACACATTAAAAATCGATTCCATTTCAAAATGTATTCTTCTTTTGCAGGATTTTCGACGGAAGGTCTCCGATCTGTTGAAGGATGTGGCCTTTATTGTTGGTTCCGGTGCGTGCTTTAAGCAAATGTTCATCATACTACAGACGCCCAACACAACGTGGGAGTCCACAGAGGCAGCACTGTTTGTCATGCAGAATGTGGCCAAAAATATACTGCCGTAATCTATTTTCCAAAAATTGTATCCACTAGTTGAGCAAGCTAATAATCTTTGTAATCCTTGTGCAGGGATGAGAACGATGTGATACCCAAGGTGGTGGAGGCGATACTCAATATGACGGATCAGACGCACATTGCAGTGCGGTACACATCGATAATGCTGATTGGTGAGCTCTGCGACTGGATTGAGAATCATCCGGAGCTGTTGCAGGCCGTGCTCAATTTTCTGCTGTATGCGCTGCAGCAGAAGAACGGCTTGGCGCCGGCGGCGGCGATTGCGCTAACCTCCATCTGCTCGGCGTGCAGACAGAAGATGGTCTGCCACATCAGCGGTCTGGTGGAGATAGCGCGAAGCTTGGACAGCTTTCAGATCAACAACGATGTGGCCATTGGGCTGCTAAAAGGCATATCGCTTATATTGACGAAGTTGCCCCGAGAGCAACTGCAACCAGCACTGCGAGAGATTGTCGGCTTTCAGCTGCAGCCGCTGGCGCAGCTGCTCGAGAGCAGCCACTGTCCACTGGCGAAGGGGGAGCGCAGTGATCCCGTCTATTGGATTGATCGCGCCTGTGCGATTATACGCCACACGAATCCTGATGTGCCCGACAACGTGGAGCATCCAACAGTTGCAATATTGAACGATGCCTGGCCCCTGATCTCCCGAGTCCTGGACAAATACCAGAACGATCTGCGAATCATGGAGCGCACCTGTCGTCTCATCCGCTATGCGGTGCGAATGGTGCGCAAACAGGCGCTGCTCCTGCTCGAGCCGCTGATCAAACAGATCGTTGTGCTGTATGCGGTGCAGCATCATAGCTGCTTCCTCTATGTGGGCTCTATCCTGGTGGATGAGTTTGCCAAAACGAATGAGTGCATTGCCGGGCTGCTGGAGATGCTGCAGGCGTTCATCGAACCGACATTTGGCCTGCTGCAGCTGGAGAACGGTTTGCGCAACAATCCGGACACCGTCGATGATTTCTTTCGTTTGGCCTCCCGCTACTTGGACTGCTGTCCGCTGCAGCTGCTCCAGAGCAGCCTGATCACGCCCATCTTTCAGTGTGCTCTGATTGCGTGCTCGCTGGATCATCGCGAGGCCAACTCATCGGTGATGAAATTCTTCATCAATCTGCTGACCTGGGGACGCAGCAGCAATCATCGGCATACGGAATGTCGACCCCTGGTCACAGAGCTGGCCAGCCAGCATGGCGGGGCGCTAGTCATGAATCTGATACAGGCCTCGGTGTTCCAGTTGCACTCGTACATGCTCGCCGATGTCGCCGAGGTGCTCACCGAACTCAAGCAGGTCGTGCCCCATGCCCAAATTCAGTCCTTCCTCGCCCATGCTCTCGATGCGCTGCCCAAAAAGAATAGCGGCGGCTATGTGACTGCCACACAACAGCAACTGGATGAGTTTAGCAACACGGTGCTGAGGTAAGACTCCCCAGCTATTAGTAGATATAATCGATTCGGATTTTGTTTGGCGGAGTAATCTTCAAGCTCTAAAACTGTTTATAAATATTCCTTAGCTGTTTGTATTGCAAATTAGTCTCTGGCAAATTTATGCATAACAATTAATGATTTTATAATTTTTAAAACTATTCCATGAGTCCCAAATTGATTGTATTTTGGCTAAAAGTAGTATGTCTTTTGAATTTAACCAGACAGAAAGCATGGCTTATATAAAAAATAATAGTTTGATGGAAAATCTTGTAATGCTCATAATTTTTTTTATTATTAATATAATAAAACCAGTTTTTGTTTCTAAAGACATCTTTATCCCGAGCTATTCTAAATACATATAAGAACAAAGATGCATCTTGCCCCAAAATCATATTATTTTATCTTGTTTATTCCGATATATAACAATCTTTATTTTCTTATATTTCAGAGCTGACACCACAAAAGCCGTTTCACAAGCACTGAAAACATTTACGCGACTCTTCCGTTGAAACCACCGCATTCGCATTGCCGCACCAGCAAGCAACGGCTCACCGCAGAGGGCCTGAATAATAATAATAATAATAACGATAATAATATGAGAAATTGTACATTTAAAATGATGTATACGCAATGTTGAGCAAATGCTGCCGCTTCTGTTGGGTATAGTTGGGTTGGGTGGCGCAATGATTTCACAATTGAATATACATATTATATTATTTTGCGTGCGGTCAACAGATCCTCACGTACAACGTACAATAAGTTGATTAACTTAAGAGCACACTAGAAACTAATTTATAAACTGACCTAAAATATACAATAACAATGTTTAATGACGACAACGATTCATTTCGGCCACATCTTTTACTTATTTTGTGCGTTTTCAATCGCAAATCGAATTTTCAATATATATATATATTTTTATTAGTTTATTTAAAAATGTTAGAAACTTTAGCGGCACAACGTTGAACATAACATTAACACATATTTTCACCATCTCCAGATTCAGCTCTATCCTCTCTCTATTCATCCATAAGCAACTAAATCGTGCGATTCGTCAAATTTTGAAATGTTTCACAGCAATCGAATCCATTTCCATTCTCATTGCTCGGCGAACTTGTCGTAAACTGCAGCAAGATGATCAAATAAGTAGTTAAAGCGCCGCTGATCTGCAAAATATAAGTAAAACCATGTTCGAATTTTGCAATTGAGATTAATGGAGGCTTGGCAGATAACAAGAAGTTGTCTCTAATTTTGGGGATTTTACATATATAATAAATTTTAGTTCCTTCGAGTGAACTCACCGTAAAGTAGAGCGAGCGATCAATGTTGAAGAGTCCGGCGGCTGTAAAGTTGATCTTCAGATGCATCAGTTGCATTGAGAACTGTTGCAGCTTCCTTCGGACTTCGGCGCTCTTCGCCTTGTTGAGCAGTGAGTGGACAATGGGGCCAGTTTTCTCACTCTTCTTAATCGCCCGATTGCTGCCCTCGACAATCGATATGATCGCTATCAAATACAATATCATTTGGCATGAGAAAAATGTTACAAATTCAACCGTTTTGAATTTGCTTTCCCGCTTCGATTTGCCCAGCAGCGTCTCGAGCACATAATAAGCATCAAAGACGATGATTAGGAAAGCAATTGAAATGATCGTTAGGAGCTGATAGGTGAAGTATTTGTTGGCCGTGGCAGCTGCCTCACAGATCAGATGATGTATCTCCATCGACTCCTGTATGATCTCAACCGGATCCTTTGTCACAATGGTGTACATCGAAAATGAGTCCAAACATTGAAGAGATCGTTGTTTCTGCACGGCTTTAATGCTACGCGTATCCCACTGATGGGCCAGATTCTTAAGGACCTGCAAGGATATTGAAGAGCATATAGAAGTCAGACGAGAGTTTTTAGTTTTAGGGTAAAATCTAGATTGACAGAAACTTAGAGTGAGAAAATTTAAAACGATAAATTGCTGTGTCTATTTGAAAAATGTTTTTAACTAAAATGGCAATTCCACTTTTTCTTTTAAACTTTTAATAAACTAGAGTTACGGTTTAATGCAACCCGTCACGTCCAACAAGTTAATTCTTGGTTGTTGTTAAATAAATAAATAAATGAATAAATTATAAAGAGCACGACTCTGCGAGTTTGAGAGAACGCTTGTAAGTTATAACTCGCAAGGTGGGGGTTTGAGTTAATTAATTTAATTGAGTTCGGTTGAGTGCAAAATATAATTATCCAGTTACAAATACTAAGACCACTAAGACCAAATTGGTAAGTGGACAAGTTTTACTTGAAGGACTTTAAGTTTTGCAACAGTTTTTGTTTTTTTGGTGCAAGTAATAAGTCCTTTGGGAGGCATCACTTGTGTTGCGAAACAAAATGTTGGCATCGCGGCAATGTGAAATAAAAATAAATAAATTTATTTAAGTAAAATATTTGAAAATATAATAGTTGAAACCGATTGAAAAACAATTGAATTTTTCTTAGCTCTGAGATTTTTAAGCAATTATTTTTCATATCAGAAAGAAATCTTGTAAATTTGCTATTAGCTTATCTTCAAAATGCAAACATCAATTATTATTCCACAATAAGTTCAAGAATAGTTCGTCTTAAGTCTTAAGAAAATGTCTTAAAAATATACTTTCATTGTATTGCTCATAAGTTTAATCATAAAAGCAAGTAGATAAATAATTTTAGTTAACAAAACTTCTAATCTAATTCCATGTTCCCACCTTGTTGACCATTACGAGCCGCATTTCGGTCAGGTATGTGAAGCAGGTGAACATGGTTACGGCAATTGCAATCACGGTGTGCTGAACTATGAATGTGAAATGAAGTGGCACAGTTGGATACACTTCCGATAGGTACAGCCCGGCGAAGGTGCCACACGAGAAGATGATGTTGACAAGGAACATAAAGATCATGTCCGCATAGCAAAAACGCAACACATTGCTATACATGATCTTAATGCCGACGCTGTGCAGCTGCAGATCCATGGTGTGGAACTTTTGCAAGCACTGCTCGAGTCGATGCTTGGGTATGATGGCCGTCAGATAGATGACAGTGACGCCAATGAAGCCGCTGACAATCTGCAACATATCGCCAAAATATGTAATCCTCGACCGAAAGAAGTAGCTGGCAATCGATTCGAAATTGTTGCGTATTGTCAGGATATAGCAGACGGCATAGAGACCAATGTGAACACTGCCATTGGCATAGCCAAACCACGATTTCTTAATGTCCAAGCGTCCACTGTCACTATCACAGCCCACATAGAACGAAGTCAGGCCCAGCAGATAGGTGACATGGAAGAGCGGACGCAGAGACTCGTACAGCTGTTTGGCGGACAGAAAACGACGGACGCGACTACGCAACGGGCTTTCCCTAACCGTTCCCAGTTCGATTTCGACATCAACCGTATCATCCTTTGCCATATCCAAGCTGGGCTATCCGGGTCGACTGCACAGCTGAAGCGTCGCGCGATAACTGAGCAAAGGAAGCGCAAATAATTTGCATACAGCCTGTTGTCTGTTTGGTAAGGTGGAGCCACAATTCCTTCGTGCCACTCTTGTTGACTTTGAGTGGATATAATTTGAGCAACACGAATACGAGAATGTGAATACGATTACGATATGAATGGTGGTTTGAGTATGTCAGAAATTTAATTAAGTATTGGCTTACAGCTCTGCCGTTTAATTAATGTCCATTTATAGGTGACTTGGGACCGTTCCCAGGAGGGATTTACTTACGCACAGGAATCTAATTAGTTGTGCGATTTAACCACATTTAAATGTCTCACTTTTCTTTTCTCTCTCAGTATGCAAATTGTCGAGGAAAGCTGAGCACCTTTTTTGCTAATTACTCACTAAATGATAGCTGTCTGATACGAAATTTGTGTTTCAATTAAAATCTGAAATAAGTGCTTAAATTTAGTTATGAAAATAATCGATTTGAAAAACTTTAAGCAAAATGTGAACGGGCCTAAAAATGTGCTTAATTTTGACAGTGGAAAATGCTAACCAAAATCATGTTTTCATTTTTAAGTGTATAACTATTCTGGAGGTCAAATCGTGAATTGTGAAAATCTTTTAAACCAGTGCCTGGATGCGCTTTTATGAGAGAAAGATTCAATAAGATTTCTAACTAAAAAACAAGTTAAAAAATTTAAGTGTATAATTATTTTAGATGCGAAACAATCGTGGCTTATACAAATCGATTCATTTTTGGCTTTCGATCCCATTCCTCAATTTTTAACCTTTTACTATATTTCACATGCGCACATTTTTATGACTACAACCCAATTATGTTTATGGTGTCAATAAATGAGCTGCAATATGTTGGCATAAATATTTATTGTGCTCCGGGAAATTAGCAACAAAAAAAAAACTTGAAGAAGCTAGTAGTAGATAACACTAAAAGGAATGGAAAAGCTTGTAGTAGTTTTTGCTTCCGTGAAAATTATGAATTATGAATGCCGTAAAGTTTATATAAGCGGCAAAAATATTTTCGGTTTGGCATTCACAAGATTGGGTATATAGCATGATGAGAAGATGCTCGTGTTAATCATTAAGACGAGCCTTAGTTATATGGAGCTCACTCAAATATTTTTGTGACTGGTCATTAATGTGTTTACCTTTGTTGTTTTGGTGGCCAACGTAACATGTGAGATAATATCGAGTTGTTTATCCACAATTTTCATTTATTTTTGTTGTGGTGAGCCCCCCAAAAGAATCTATAAATTTTTATTTGCAATTTCAAAAAATAAATATGTTCTTGTAAGACAAGAAACTAGGCGTCAAAAGCACATAAAAAAATGTCGTAAAAATATTTATATTTTGACAAACATAAATGAAGACAATAAATACATAGATAGCTAGTTATTCTGTACTAGTTTCACTTCTTGCTCAGACCCCCAATCCGGAGTCAATTACGCTTGGGTAACTTACCTGATTTATAATGCTCATGCGTCGCTCAAAACTGAAGGCAATTATGCAGAACAAACAAATGGCAATGGAGACCACCGAATGTTGCAGGAAGAAGGTTATGCAGACGCAAAAGGAGGGTGTAACGCCCAGCGAGACGAGTAGCTGGAACACGCCCACAAAATAAACGCCCAAAATGAGCAGTTTGCAGACGAGCAACAGGATCGAGTAACGAAAGATCCTTGAGTATTTCACACGTATTCCAATGTTGGCAAAGTTCATATCGAGACTGTGCAGAATGGTCAATGTGCGCAGCAGCTTGCAACGCTTCAATATCGCCGAGGCATAGATTACGGCGCCAGCAATGAGTCCATTAAAGATCTGCAAGCGATCGCCAATTGTTGAGATCTCCGTGCGAAAAAAGTAGCCGACAATGGATTCGCCTTGGCGGAGCGATGAGATGTAACAGAAGCCGCACAGAACGATGTAAACAAAAATGTTGAAGATGCCAAAACAGGACATTTTCACATAGGATTCGCCCATTTTGCGACGCACCACATGGAATGGTGTCAGACCGTACAAGAAAGTGAGAAAAAATAATGGACGCAGTGCCTCATAGACTTGCGACGATATAAAATACCTTCGCACACGATGCAACGTAGTTGACATTTTTTTATATTTTTGCTTTGATTCTGTTCCTTTATTTGTATTTGCGACAAAACACAACCGTTCGGTTCGGAGTGACAACTCAAACTGCAGCCAGGACGAATCGGCAGCCAGCGGCAACCGAGCTGCTTTTTGTTGTGATAACATGGAACACAATAAAAACAAAGCTATAAAAGAGTGAGAAAGAGAGATAAACAAAGAGGGAGATGGAATGAGTCATTCAGTGGCAGCGAATGTGTAACCGAAGCGAAAGCGCGTGCGAAAAATTTCATTATGATGTTTGTGAGCCGGAAGTGCGAGGACCTCAACTCAATGAGGCAACAAGTGTGCGTGTCCTTGAGCCAGGCATCCTTGCAGCATAATCAAACAGTCGCCGCTGCCATTGTTCAATTTAGTTTTTCCTCTGCCCTTTGAAATGTGATGATGACGAAAGGGGGAGATGATGCGAACTAGCATTGCCAAAATGATAGCATGACGAAAAGAATCTTCAAGTTACCCATAAAATTTAAATGCGCAGAACTATTTTTAATTTGGGCTTTTCTTTTACCAGAATGAATTTAAAGAATTGTCGCAGAATAGCTTGTAATCATATTACGCCTATGGGATAAACAGGATAAACATATGTATTTTAACCCTTCTGGATAAACATATGTATTTTAACCCTTCTGGATTAGCATATATCTTTTAACCCTTCAACAACCCTTCAATTTTGTACTCACTCAAATGGGTTTTAGGTATTAACAAAATTTGTTTAAAAATATTCTGTTTCTTTCAGTAGTTGAATGTCTGCAAAAGTGTGATAAAATAAGTGTGTTGCCCAAAGCTTGTCAGTTGTTTTGCTGAAGAGTACATTATCAGCACATCATCTTGACTGCCATGAGTCCAGATGCAGACACACACACGCACAGGCACTCATAGATACACACACAGTCGCAATTGCAGACAGTTTTATGGCTGAGCCGCTTACGAGGCGTATACGCAATATTTAATATGCAATGAGGCATTAAGGAAACTTGCTATGCAAAACAACTGAATGATTTATTTTCGCTTGACTTTTGAATGAAGTTAGGTACTCGAAAGGACTCTATTTGGGTTTAACACCAGACCGGAAACTCATTTAACAGATACAATTCTAATCAGTTTCTCAATTGTTATTTAATTCCTCTGCGAAACTTGAATAAGAAATAATATAAATAACAAAACTAATTTTAAATAATAATAAATAATAATTGTGAATTAAGTAAATAGTTTCACATTCTAAACATTAAATATTTGAAAATTATAATAGCCAAAGAATACATATAAATATAAGTTGATAAAGTTTTGTTTAAATTGTAAGCAAAGAAAATGCTTACAATCCACTTACCTTATGCAATAGTCTCACGCGACGCTTCACGGATACTGCCAGCAAGCAGAACATGCAAATTGTCATCGATACGACGATTAGTTCATAGAACGTGACGAAGGTCAGCTCCCAGGAAGGACGCACCTCCATTTGAGCGAGGCACACGACACAGATTGTTATAATGGCTGCATCCAAGATGGTGACTAGCAGCAATACTACTGCAATAGAATACTGAACCTGAAAGTAGTCGACGGGGTTTTCGAGACGCCGCAGACGTCGATCGATCCGCACCAGAGTCTCAATGGCTCGTCGCAGATGGCGACGCATAAGGAGCGGCATAATGAAAAGGACCACAGCGGTACCGACGCCAGCTATATCATGGAGTCGGCTGCTCACCTCCGAGATGTGATTGCGCATGAAGTAGCCAATTAGGGAGTCATTGTGCCGATGGGCGTGCCAATAGCAAAAGGCAAACATAAGCCAACGAATGATGGCATTGGCAAATCCAAACCAGGGTTCACGCACCATCTGCTCGCCGTAGCAACCGTCACGGGTCACATAATATGGAGTTATGCCCAGCAGCAGAGCCATTCCAACAATCAGCCTAATGCTGCTATAGAAATCCTGAGCTCTGAAGATGCGTCGCAGGAAGCGCTGCCAAAATCCTGGCGACCTTGAAACGACGCGTAGCATTTAACGATGCGGTGGCCAACGAAGCACTGAATACAAATCAATTGTTTGCATACTTTGGGGGAGTAACAACCTAATCTCCATTCGTCTGAGCTCTTCCTCTTATCACAGATTAAATATCGAGTATCGTAATCGCATTAGAGTGCCTCGCCAGTCAAATGAGCAATGTAATGAATTAAATTCGGATTCCATCTAGCTATCAAATGTCCAGCAAATGGGCATAATGTTTGTAGTGCGAAATCAATTAAATATTGCAGATTATTGTCCATTAAGTACTTAATCAAAATGATTGTAGGACTAGTTGCACAATCTCTCCAACATTTTCCAGAGATATTGAAATATTAATAAAGCGCTCAATATAGGGTATTTACTCGTCGATCACTCTCCATATGTCAGTCGTATTTGTCTATTTACTTTGGTATTGGATACATTTCATTTCCCGTTTTGGGTGTTATCATCGTGCTTAGCTAATTGCTAATGACGAGTGCTCAACTGAGTGTTTTAGTTTCCCATGTAATTATATTTCAGTGAGTAATTGATCTTTAATGGAGCAAGTTGTGAATTTCAAAGTGGGAGTTTAATTTATTCAGTCAAAGTGATGGCAGTTGTTGCAAGCTAACACAGTTAGCGAAGCACATCCACAAAATAATCGTTTTAGTCATCGTCGTTTTCATCAGCTCCAACTTCAACTGGGTTGCATCTTCAACAATGCAAACGGGATTGCATAATGAGACCAGCTTAATGAGCTGACGCTGACAGCGTCACCAGTTTCGTGCAACAATTCATGCACCTATCTTAGAATTTTTGTCGCACAATTTGCTAACAATAACAATAACGTTGACAGCAGCAACAACAACAATCAAAAGCAGCACAACAACAACCACAGCAAGACATCAACCAGTATTCACAGCAACTGGCAGCAATAACTATACAATGCAGCCACATCTTGTTTGTGTCTGGTTGTGGGTCGATGTGGTTCGACACACTTCGACTAAGTCATCTCAGCAAGTCCCCCAAAATTCTGCTCCAATGAGGCATGCGGCACATATTTCCACACATGCCTCATATTTCGTTAATACATTTTCCACTTTAAAGAAGATTTTCAGTTGCTGCGTTAGCTGATTATTTTTTTTGCGTAAGTTGAGCACATAAATAGATTTAAAGAATGCTTGACTGAGGTAAGCAATAGTATTATACAAATATATAATATATGAGACAGCTCTCAAGCCGTTTATATTATATTTTAAAACTGTTATCAGTATTTGGCGAGCCGAAATACAAATTTCGTATACGAATTTACTACCCTGTACTATTTTTGGCAAAAGGTAGGTTATATTCAGCAATTCAAGAATGTGCAAATAATACTTATTAAATAATGGAATTGAATTAAAAAAAGAGGCTAACACCAAGCGATGGACAAACACTTAATAAATTATATTAAATAAAATTAAAATTTGTTGATTTTTGATTAAAGGTTTATTATAATTTTTATTGAAATTCTATTTAGTTATATTTTATATGATGTTTACATTATTTTTGAAAACTTGATGAAACGATCGACACAGTATTAATTTCAATGTGAAGATTCAAAAAACAATGATAAGCATAATTGTTTTTTGTTCGGTTTGTGTATATTTTATGTTTTTAAATGAGCTAAGTTGATGTTAAATATTCATAAATAGATCTTTTTGTCTGAATTCGCTTGATAACGAAAGTTCAACGCGCCACCTGTCGGCTAGAATCTGTAAGTTTCCGTTGATAATGAAAGTGGGCATGGCATTGTTAGGATGATAAGACCCTAGTTCAAATTGAAGCTTATCACCACAAGCTGACCCCTAAGTTCAGGTCTTGATGGCGTCTCTGATCTTCCTCGTCCGCTGCTCAGCTTAGTTTTCACTTGGAATTCGAAGCGATCGGAATGTGGCGCACTGGAATCGTACAACAGGCGGCTCGTCAGGATTTGAGGCGTGTTTTTGGCCGCAATAAAAGCCACACCGCAGGTTCAGCGCCCATCCTTCCCAAGTCCGCTGATGTGGTTGTGATTGGTGGCGGGTCAGCTGGTTGCCACACGCTCTACCATCTGGCCAAGCGGGGCGTGAATGCAGTGCTCCTGGAGCGAGCTCAACTTACAGCGGGCACCACATGGCATACGGCAGGTCTGCTCTGGCGTCTGCGTCCCAGCGATGTGGATATTCAGCTGTTGGCCAATTCGCGGAATATGCTGAAACAGCTGGAGGCAGAGACGGGCTTGGATCCGGGCTGGATACAGAACGGTGGCATCTTCATAGCGCATAATGAGACACGTCTGGATGAGTATCGTCGATTGGCAACGGTTGGCGCTGCACTGGGCATTGAGAACGAGATATTAACGCCGGAGGAGACACAGAAACTCTTTCCGCTGCTCGATCCAAAGGCATTCGTTGGAGCACTCTACTCACCTGGTGATGGCGTCATGGATCCAGCTATGCTTTGCACAGCTTTAAAGCGCGCGGCAACCCACAATGGCGCTCAGGTTGTAGAGAACTGCGATGTCCAGGAGATTCTCGTCGAGGAGGGTACGCGTGGTGCTAAAAAGGTTGTGGGCGTGTCAACGCCTTTCGGTAATATACTCACCGACACGGTGGTGAATGCAACGGGTGTGTGGGGTCGTGATCTGGTGGCAAGACATGGCACCCATCTGCCCCTGTTGCCCATGAAGCATGCGTATATTGTCTCCGAATCGATACCGGGTGTCCGTGGTCTGCCCAACATAAGGGATCACGATTATTCCACTTATTTCCGGATACAGGGTGATGCTATCTGCATGGGTGGCTATGAGCCGAATCCCATACTGCTCGATTCGGTGGCAAAGGACTTTCATTTTGGTTTGTATGAGCTGGATTGGTCGGTGTTCGAGACGCATGTGGCGGGTGCCCAGAAATTGTGTCCCGCTTATGCCAAGTACGGTGTGAAGAGCACCGTGTGTGGCCCGGAGTCCTTTACGCCGGACCACAAACCGCTCATGGGTCCAGATCCGATGGTGCAGGGTCTAATGCACAATTGTGGCTTCAACTCGGCGGGCATGATGTTCGGTGGCGGATGTGGTGAACAAACAGCGCTGTGGATCATTAATGGGCAGCCGGATTTGCCCATGTTCAGTTTTGATCTGCGAAGATTCACTCAGGAACAGGGTCGATCCATCAAGTGGATACAGGAGAAGTCGCACGAGAGCTACGTGAAGAACTATAGCATGGTGTTCAAGTACGATCAACCGTTGGCCGGACGAGATTTCCAAAAGGATCCCCTGCACGAACAGATGCTGCAGGCGAACGCCTTTATGGAGGAGAAACAGGGCTGGGAGCGACCCGGTTTCTTCCTCGGCTCGAGCGTAGACTCTGCTGGAGTGTTACCCTACGACTGGTATGGCAGCTATGAAAATCAACGGCACAAGGACAGCAACTACGAACGCATCCTGGAGGGTGATCTTAAATACAGCACTTTCTCCGAACATCATGATCTGGTAAGTGAAGCGCTTTGTGGAGACATTCAGGCAACCCTTATTCACTCTTTTCTCTTACAGATTGGTGCCGAGGCCCTGGCCTGTCGCAACAATGCCGTTGTCTTCAACATGAGCTATTTCGCCAAGCTGCTGCTCACAGGTCCTCAGGCCAAGCAAGCTGCCAACTGGCTCTTCTCGGCCAACACAAATCGTGATCCCACCAAGTGAGTAAGCCATATGTAGAGAATTGATTATAGCCTGAAAATACTCTACTATTAAATTCTTTTTGTCCTTTAGAACTGTCTACACTTGTGCCTTGAATGATGCTGGTGGCGTTGAGGCGGACGTGACAATCAGTCGCTTGGCATCTGGTTCCGGTCAGGTGCACGATCCCAAGTTCGAGGGTCAGGGCTACTATATTGTGGCTGGAGGTGCCTCGGCCTATTACACATACAGCCTGCTCCTCAGCGAGATACGGCGCAAGGGCTTTAATGTCAATTTAACAGATGTCACTGCTGATCTGGGCGTCATATCCATTCAGGGACCCAATAGCCGAAATATTTTGCAACCGCTCCTCGACTGTGAACTCTCCGATGAGTATGTGGCGCCCAATAGCACCCGATTGGCCAGTTGCAATGGGGTTGGAGTCCGACTGCTGCGTGTCAGCTTTGTCGGTGAACTGGGCTATGAACTGCATGTGCCCAAGGAGCATTGTGCTACTGTCTACAAAGCTCTGATGGCTGCTGGTGCGGCACAGGATCTGCGAAATGCTGGCTACCGGGCACTGTATGCGCTCAGTAGCGAGAAGGGCTATCATTTGTGGAGCTTCGATCTGAGATCGGATGATACTCCCTTTGAGGCTGGACTCGGCTTCACGTGCCGCAAGACGGGCGACTATCGCGGACGTGCCGCTGTGGATCACCAGCGTACGCACGGCATCAAGAAGCGCATGGTATACCTCACTCTGCAGGAGCAGATGCCCATTTGGGGCCTCGAGGGTGTCTATCGCAATGGTGAGCCTGTGGGCGTGCTGCGACGAGCCGAATACGCTTACACTCTAGGCAAATCTCTCGGTCAGGCGTATATCTCGCGGCCCGATGGCCAAAACGTCGATGTGGGCTATCTGAAGGCAGGTGACTATGAAGTGGCTATTCTGGGCAAACGCTACAAGGCCGATTGCCATTTGCGCAGCCCCTTCGATCCCACGGGTCAAAGGGCACTCGGAAATTACGAGTCCATCAATATAAATAAATAATAATTGAACTAAAATGCTTTATGCTAAAACAATGAAGTTTTACTATCGATTTTGGGGAACACTTTCTGAACTTAAGATAACATTTTCTGAGATCTGATTGAATGTGAAAGTGTAGAAGTGACAATATATCAATATATATATGTATATAAATGATTTGTATCAATGAGCGTTGCTCTCTCTCAGTCTCTCTCTCTCTCTGTCTCTCTATCTTCGCTTATCATCTCATCTGGCTATTCTTCTCCAAGGCCATACATTTCTTACGCTTGACAGCAGGTCTATAAATCAATCGAGTTATCAAACATAATTTAACCATTTACGCCAAGGCTTTAAAACTATTTGTAAACAAATTTCTTTCGATTTTTAATTATTAGTATTTTGTTTGCCGAACTATGTCTATTAAAATAATTTTTAATGATTTCTTTTTGAGCAAATCGTTTTAAAATATATTTGCTATAAATCATAACAAATATGAAGGCTCTTCAAATATTAAAGCAAACAATTGATCTTTGCTTTGTTTTCAATAGCTTTGATGGGGTTCAGGTTTGCCGCATAAATTTTTCCTTGAAAAGTGTTGAATTCTATTTGTTTTCAAAAGCGAATTATTGCAATTTGATGTTATCTTTTTTTTCAATTTATCTCAGGGCCAATGGCTTCGTCTTGGAAAATATTTAGATAAACTTGAGCTCGGCTCAGCAATTACATATTTATACCGTTTCGAAATACACGTCGGGCACGTTGTGGTACTACTAATTATAATCTGACTTTCAGTTTCAGAATCTTCCACTTTGCCACGTGATGGTGGCAAGTCAAAGTCAGTCACTGGGTTATGGTAATGGATGTTGCCCCAGCCTCAGCCTCAGCCGCAGCCGCAGCTCAGTAGCAACAAAGAAGCCAAAGCCATGAATCTGCATAGAGACAAGTTAATTAGCTCTCTGAATGGCCGCAGACACCGCAGACAAAGTTAATTATGGCCATATAATATATATATGTGCCATTGTAATCTATCATTTTGTACGCTTTGTGCACTTCTTGCTGTAGATTCTGCCGTTTAACGGCCTTGCCCATTAGGCATTAATGGAGGTGGGTTGGGATGGGGTTAGCGGGGCTTAAGTGTGCATAGGCAATTGTAATGCCAATTAAATGACAACACATTTCTTTGACAATGCCCAATTTTCAAAATAAAAAATAATATCGTTACATAAAACCAAAGCAATTAAAAACTGTCGTGCTTAATGACGAAAGATTGACATCTGGCTGATTAAGCGCGAGCACCTCAGGTGTGGGTTGCATTAGAGAAAAGTGAAAAGCAGCCAACACAGTGAATGATAAATACATATATGTATATATATATATTGTCTACATACGAGTCATATAAAAATATGGCTACATGTAGAGTATTAAATGATGCAAAGGCCTCGAGCAGTTAGCTTCATGGTAAGCGGCTTTAATATCACCCAACTTTTGTTTGGCTCCAAATTGTTGAAATTGCCTTCATTGCCAGCGCAATTGCCTGGTGGGGGTCAGTTTTGGGGGGGCTCCAAATCTAATTTGCTGCAGTCGCCACAGTCATGGGATAGGGCGCTTGAATCATGTTTTATATTCGACATCACCGTTTGCAAGTCAGCATCAAGTTAACGGGCACTTGGAAGTAGCAAACCACTTCAAGTTCAAGTTCAGGCTACCCTCATTAAGTCAATCGAATGAGCGAACAACAACTGCAATTTGGCAATGTTCACACTTGTTGAGTTCACACATCTAAATCGGCTGCTGGTTGATGTATTTGGGTTTTGAGTTTTTGGGTTTTTGGCTGCACAAGACACTTCAACGAATGCGCTCAAAGTCAAGATGCACAACGGCAGCAATAATTGCGTATATGAGTAATTTTAATCTGTATTTCGATTGCTACTGACTACTATTACTTCAATTGAAATCAATTGCAATTAAAAATTGATTTACTCAACGACCTTGTTCGAAAATGCACTTTGAAGATGCGTTTTGCGACTATTTATATGTTTTTGAGGATGCGCTTTTGCCTTGTGGTGAACTTGAAATTTGAAAGTGTTTGAAATTGCAATGAGTTAAGCATAAAACACCTGCTGGCATTTTCGCAAATTCATAACATAAAAAATTAATTAACATGTTTATGGCACTGTAAAACAACATTAATCATAATCTTAATAATAAAAGTAATCATAATAATAATAATAATAATAATAATAGTGGGGCTGCAACAGCTTATGTCAGCAGATGATATTTAACGCTCTTGGCTTTGCCTTTAATACTATTATTATTTTTTTTTTAATTTTTGGCTAATGATGCTCAATTGGTGCCGGAAGCATTAGCGCTTCATCGATTTTACTGACATTATTGACACAGTTTTTTAACCCCCCGCTGTCCAGGCCCCTTCTTGTTGTTGTTACATAAGTGAAATGTAAATAAAAAAAATAAAAAAAGAAATCACGCAAGTATTTTCTTTCATTTGTTATATGTGCCGCCAGGGGACACAACAAGACAGGCAGACAACAAAACGAAATAAATAAGTAAGTTAATGAAAAAGTGAATCAATAATCGTTTGTATAAACAAAACGCATAACGGCGTTAAAATAGTTTGCATTTTTCTCCATAAGCATTATTGATGCGAATGTTTTTCACCGAAAATTCGCAAAGCGTGCGAAACAAAAGACTCTGGCAGCAAACTTGTTGTCGAGCCTACGGACATGTTGTACGAACAGCAGCTGGCAACTTGGCAACATGACAACATTTCCAACCAACTGCAGCTGAAACCTAGCACAGTGACACAGTTATGTGCGAATAGATATATGTGGTATGTTTGAGGTGTAATTTACTAACGATTCGCTCGCCCATAACTCAATTAACAATGAGATGTCCAGCTGAAGTTTGAGTGTAAATCGTTTTTGGTTTAGAGCACTTGACTTGGCTTCATCTCCGTTTGTTTTAGCCATAACCAGGCATACACACACATAAAGCGCGGTTTGAGCCTTGTTCGAACGGCAACCGCATCATCAAAAGCTGCTCGTTTTATGCTGTTTGCTTTAGTTGTTGTTGGCTGGTTGTGCAGCTATAGTTTTGTTTTTGTTTTTTGTTTTTTGCTTTTGTTTTTGCTTTTCGTTGCTTTTGCTTTTTGTCTTTGTTTTGGCGACAAGCTATAAACCGTGGCAAGATCGTCGTTACGTTCAGTTGGTAAAAGTGAAGCGTTGCGTGCGGTTGTCTTTGTCCACACATATAATAAAAAAACAACTAAAATATATAAGTACTTCATACATTATTCTAGTTCAACTCTCAATCGCCGCTGACTCGTCTGTGGTGTACAAGGTGATTATCTGCGCACATCCTTCAAGGATAATAGCTCAAAAAAAAAAAAACTGTTGACATTATTACAAACCGTTCAGATATGTGTCAAGTTTGTGTTGTGAATTATTCGGTGTTATTATATGGAATGGAAAGAAAAGCATAGAATATTTCAGAGAAAAAATCTTTGCTATTTTGTCTCCAATTGAATTTGTTTACCTAGTTGCAGTAATAAAATAAATAAGTACTGTTGAATTGTAGAAATGTTTTTATTTTAAGTCGAACAAAAAGTACGATGATTTGAAATAATTATTTAGAAGCAAATTATGTTTATAAATTAAAGATGAGATTTATTGTCGATCTTTTGTGCTTATAGTAAGTGTAGTTTAATAGTTATAATTTAAAATTGGAATTTTATTAATATTAGAATAGTCTATTTTAGATATGACTTTTTTGAGATTTAAATAAAAGTGAGGTCCAAAAGTGATAATAAAATCAATTCTTGTCTAAGATTTAACTTAAGCAAACAAACTATTAGATGAGTAATTAAACTACTACTACCCGAGGCCAAAAGCATACTAGAATATATGTAGATAAAGTGGAATGTATACATTCTTAAGTGAATTGTATTTGTAGTATATATTTTTGTCTGGTAAATGTAATCCTCTACTTTAGCCTTGTGTTTGAAAAGCCCTTCTCCAACAAGACGACAACTTTAGTTGTTTGTTCGATTGTTGCATTAGAACTATATGCATTACTAATGCACTTATGGTTCCATATTTTCCGAGGTGCTTATCTTGCAACAGTTAAACATGCCCCAGTTTTTGGCTACTGTGCTATTCACACACATGCACACTGCGTAGGTGTGTTTGTATGTTGTGTGTGTAGTGGGAGCCAACAAATTGCATGCATTCAAGCAGAAGATTGCGCAATATGTTTTGTATTTGGCCACCTCAGTGCAAATGAGCGGAAAATCCCATTTTCCAGCCGCATGCAAATTTGAGTATTTATTTTACGTTTTTTTTGGTTTTATTTTTTTTTTTTTTGCAATATGCCAAAATGTCAGGCTCTGGTCATGAGCTAACTGCTACTGCAAGCAGCCTGAAGTCGTAAACATAAAACCTGCGCGTGTAATGCTTTATGGACTGCTGACATAAATACCGGACAGATAACGCCAAAATAATACCAGAAAACAACAAAAAAACACAAGCTCTAAATTGAATCTTTTATGTATTGTGGTAAGCAGCTGGTTCTGTAGATTACCCAGCTGATGTGCAACTTTTGGGCATCCATCGTGACCAAATAATGCAGGCAATCTGCCGAAGAGCTGTAAGGCAACAACGTACAAATTCCACTAAAGAAATCGCAAGTCACGTCCCTAGCAACTGACAACTGCAATTTGAAGGCTGCCGGAATGGAAGCAAATAATTTATTTTTTTGATACAGCGCGAAAGTCGCACAGCATTGCATTGATCTCACAACAAAGCACAAAGACAGACTCCCAGAGGAAAGTTATTCACCGAAAATCACATACAATTCCATCTGTAATTTTAAGTGTCTTTTTTGGTTATTTTTTTTTTGTTTTTTTGGGCTGCGCCAGCATTTGGGAGTGTGATATATGTGTTAAGACCCAGTGCAGAGTCAGAAAAAGACACGATCATTAACTTGACTTAACAGTTAACCTAAACGAGTCATGCTCTTCAGCCATTACAGCTATGATTTAAGTTGTCTTCTCTTTAGTTGGTTTTGTGTTTTTGTGCCTGCCACTCTACAAATTGTTAGTATTTATTCAAATCATTATCAGCATTGCGTAAATTTCTTGTAGTTTTATCGCATTAGGTACATGAGAGTAGTCTAAAGAGTATCTGCTTAATCACATTGCACATATCTTTTTTTTAGTACATACACATTTTTTTATGTCATGACCAAAAACTGAAAATATTTTCACTATCATTTCGTGACATTGTTATTGTTATTTGTTTTGCTTTTTGGACTTTTTTTTTTTGCAAGAGGAAAAATAAAAAACCTGAAACTGATGCTGTTGCTGTTGCTGTCGCAGTTGCTGTTGTGCAGTAAAAGTAACGCACCTTGCCAGACCAACCTGACAGCTCCTTTGCTGGCTGGCTGGCTAGCTGGCTGCTTCATCTGTCCCACTGTCCCATTGGCTCACTGTTCCACTGTCTCGCTGTCTTCACTGCTCAGTTGTCTGCTCCCAAACTTGCTTACAACCGGCTGACTTTCTTCTACAGTCTGTCCAGTTTTTCTACATCTTATTTGCGCGACTTTGTTTACCAGAAAACCTCTTACGCTCCTCCACACACTCTTGCTGCGTACCTGGCACCTGGTTCCAACTGGTGCCAGTTGAGGCAATTAAAAAGACGCCGCTGTTGCATCCGCATACAACTTTCTTAACAGTATGCGACGCATCCTGTTTTGTCAACAGCCCTTTCAAATTCTAATTCCATTTTCTATTACAAATATTGCGACATTGGCCAACTCGTTATTTCGTTATTTCAGCCTGTTTCGAATTGACAACAGCGTTGTATAAACTTCGCAAGAACAACAACTGCTTGGAGCAGACCTACTTTAAGCCAAGAGGCGCCCAGTTGTTGTTGCCTCCGCAACCAGTTACTATAGTTAGTGTTCTTGTTGCTTTTGCCAGTTGCTTGAGGTTAGCAAATCCGTCTTCTTTATATTTGCTGTCATCGGTGCATCAAGCTTAGCTAAAAAAAAAACAAAAACTCGTCTCACTTTTGCGTTCTACATACGAGTACTAGCCAAACAATACAATCGTGCTAAAAACAACAAAAACCAGCACCATTATAGACAACTGATTTCTCTGGCAAATGAATTATGACAAATTACCTGCTTTTTCTATTGAATGCCTATTTACAGAAAGCTATGCTTAGTTTTAGAACAAACGAATAGAAATTTGTAATATATTTAATCATATTTATGGAAAATATTTATACCATATATAAAGGTGGTATTTTTACAGATTTGTTTCGCATGTTGTATATTATATATTATTACTATTTATCTCTATATTAAACTTTCCATCTTCATTGCTCAACTTGTAATTAACTCTTTCTGCAATTAAAAAAAAATTATAATTAAAATCGCCTAATATCCATGGAAGTCATGAAAGCCACCATATCTTATTGGGATCTGATGAAAGCATTAGTTACAAAAATCAATTATAAGCAAATCCGTTGCAGGCGTTACAAATTGCATATAAATTGTCAAATATTGTTTGTTTTATAGCATTTCATAAAATTCAGCAGCCAAATTGGCGAACATCTTTAAGCACATTACGGGTAATTTATAAACAACATAAAAAATCAAAGACTAAATTGATAGGCGCATTAAAACTCGTGATGCATAAATAAAAATAAAAAAAAGCGATTAAAAAGGAAATATATAAAATTACACAAGCATGAAAACCAGTTGCTCTTAGATGATAGATTTGGCTGCGAAAACTGCATAAGCCTGCGATTAATTGCCATGTGTATATGAATATTCAGGTAGCCAAGTGGATGGCAGAAGGAAAAATACTCGGATGGGAGTACGAATGCAGCTGCATGAACTGGCCAAAACTCTGGCGGATGTCACACGGCATGCCATGGAATTAATTTCTTAGACGCAGACATATAAACACACTGACGACACAGACAGTTATTGGAATGTTGCACAGATGTGCACGGTTAGTGGCGAAAAAAGCAAAATTTCAAACATTTAAATTGTTGTCTATTAATTCATTTGGCTATCGAGCTTGCCCTGAAGGTTAAATTGTTTTTGCATCTTTTTTGTCGTTTTGCTGCCACTTATATAAGGAATTAAGTGTCGTTTGAATTGAAGAGCTCTCCACCTATTAGTCATAACTGTACAAATGTTTATATAAAATATATATACATATGTGAAATGCTACACGATTATTAAAATTCGAACTGCCTTTCTCCCGAATAACCGATCCACGCAATTAACAATTGCCTAAAAATACAAAAAAAAGACAAGAAAATAAAAAAATTATACATTCAATGAAATGCGTTAAATGATAATTACATAACAATTTATAAGCGTTAACGAAAATCGACAAAAACAATTCAAATTGGCCACTACAAAGTGAAGAGCCTACAATTGTATTTAAATTTGGTTTTTACTTTATTTTTTTTTTTCAAATTTTGTTCGTAGCTCTTTCGCCTTACCCACAACAATTAGCTTAACAATAAATACACATGGCATTTAGGAAGAGCAAGTGAAGAAACGGAAATTTGAATTACAAAATTTACAAGCCGTGAAAAAATATAAAAAAAAAAATACCGAAAAAAATATCAGACAATTGCGCGTGGCACGAAAAGATAAAAAAAAAACAAAACAAAACAAGCCAAAGTCGTTAGCACTGTTATCAGACGGAAGAGTCAAGTTGGACAGTTGGATAGTCAGCCAACTGTGTGTAATATATGGCCCAACAACAGCAACAACAACAATAACCCACTACAACAACCCATAGACAGCAATGCAACTTTCTCCATTAAAGCCAAGAAAAAAATGGTTTTGGTATGCAAAGACACACTCTGACTCAAGACTACTAGAAACCGTCAAGTGTGGCATGTGCCCCGTCTCATAGAGTTGTCTTCAGGTCTCGTTTCTGTTGTAGTGCAGTGTTTGCGCTTGTTTTTGGGTTAGGTCAGTTTTGAATTCGGGTCTGGGTATACCATCGAATTGGGTAAAGGTCAAGAGTTAATGGTTGTCCCAAATAGTTGCTGGCAGCAAACAAATCTCATTTCAGGTTTGGGTTGCTTCAAATGCTAATGAAGAAGAATATATTTCATGATTGATTGACTTAATAATTTACATTTAAATTGAGGTTCTGAGGAAAAATAATTACTTTACAGTATGTAAAATTCAAGGCTAACTTGTTGTTTCTCATATTGATTAAGATAATCATAATGGCTTTAAGTCATAACTTCTAATTGTAATAAACATATTTATGTAAGCCCCATCTGCTGTTACAGCTGTCATCAATCGACCAAAAAATTAACATACAATTTTGCTTGTTTTTAGCCATAACTAATGGATGATAGCGATATAAAAAATAAATAACATAAAACAATAAACTCATTTGCATATACTCAGTTATTACAAAGAACCAACTTAATAGAGATTGGATAGTTGCTAGTCGGAATTCTCAGATGCTCATTGATAAAGGGGGTTGAGTTGCATTGCAAGGCCGTTGTCGAAATGGAAAACTACTCAATTAGGCAAAATGAAAATCGAATTGTACGAATTGACAATTGTCAGCGACAAATTCCATACATACAATATACATATATAAAAAACAAAACACAAATCAATACAAAAAAAGCGCAGTCAAAATCGCTCAAAAAATCGATAGACAATGCCGAACTGATATTTCCAATCACTGATTTCGCACAAAAAGATGTCGACTCATTGAAGCGGAAATGGGTTGGGCAGGTTTTGGGCCTACAACCAAATTAAGCCAAAAATTCAGTTTCAATTTGCGCTTAACCGTAACCGCATTGGCGTTTTTGATTTTTGTTTTTTTTTTAATTTTTTGCACTTGCAGCTTTTTTAGATTTAAACCACCCACTCAACAACAATAATGTTTGTGCTGCGCACGTTGCTGCTGCTGGCAGTGAGCGCCACTGTGGCGCTGGCCCAGCGTCGTCTGGCGCTGCCGGATCCGCGCAGCTGCGCCAATCGTGTGAGGCATGCCACCTATCGTGATGCCCGTGGCGTCTCGCATTCATACTTCTTCAGCTGGGAGCATGCGCCGACGCGCAGCTTGGAGGTGGACTGGCTGGATGCGCGCAACATTTGCCGGCGGCACTGCATGGACGCCGTCTCGCTGGAGACGCCACAGGAGAATGACTTCGTGAAGCAGCGTATCGCTCGTGGCAATGTGCGCTACATCTGGACATCGGGCAGAAAGTGCAACTTTGCTGGCTGCGATCGCCCCGATCTGCAGCCACCCAATGAGAATGGTTGGTTCTGGTCTGGATCCGGTGGCAAGATTGGTCCCACATCGCAAAGGAACACTGGCGACTGGTCGGCAACGGGCGGTTACAATCAACCACAGCCTGATAATCGTGAGGCTGCGCAGGGCAATGATGAGAGCTGCCTGTCCATTTTGAACAACTTCTACAATGATGGCATCAAGTGGCACGATGTTGCCTGCCACCACATCAAGCCCTTCGTCTGCGAGGATTCCGATGAGCTGCTCAACTTTGTGCGCTCCCGAAATCCGAATGCGCGTTTGTAATTCTAATACACTATGATAAGCTTAAAATGAAGATAGAAATGAAAAGAAAAACAGGAAATACAACAAATATTTATGTAGCATTAAACGGAGCAATGATTGATCGTCTGATTGACGGATTGATCAACGGCTTTCCACGCGCTTTTTGGCCAATTCCATTCATATTATTTTTATGCTTTTGTTTGCAACAAATTTTACAAGCAAAAATTTGAATAACATTTCCGTGTCGATTCGCGCATGAAAAACAAAATTGTTAAATAATTTTTAAAAATTGTTAATAAACATTGAAATTGAAGCGATAACAATGCGATTTGATTTTTCCTATTTCGAAGTACCATTGAATTGGGTGTGTTGCCTTCTTATAGAGAACATCTTAAATTTGTACAAATGTTTGGGTTCTCAAATGACCTCATAATTCTTGAATGCAGTTCGATAGAGCTCAGAATTTAGGAGAGCAAAAAATAGATCTCGGAAACTACAAGGCCTGTTCCGATGTCCTTTAGACCCACAGATAGTTCTTGGCGTGCATATTTTTTTAATGCAGATAGCTTTGGCTCTTGCAATTCTAACGAACCATGTCCCTTAAAAATCTGTAAGCATTTGGCAGAGTTATAACTACTCTTGTAGACAGTATAAATATTCCTAAAAGAATGCAACATTAATCATTTCAGTTGTTCCCAACAATGTTTCCAGTATAATTGAAAAGCCCAAAAGTATGCATTATGTGTTTTATTTATTTTTCGGTTAGTGATAATCTTTACTACAAAATGTATATTTTCATTTAACTCTCTTATTAATTAATTAGTATTGGTAAGTTATTCAGAACACAATTTCCATCTTCAATATGTATATTTAGTTTGATTTGAATTGTTTCATCTGTAATGCATCTGTTTTCGTCTGTAAAGAACAATTCTTATATATGCATGCATTTTATATGAGATTAAACTGCCTGACACAGAAATAAATGCTAAAGTAGTTCAAACAAAATGTATTGTTAAAGTTATATTCTTCAGCTTGAATCAACACCGAATAACAAATGCATGGTCACTTGAGTCCTCTGCTTTCAATGGAAATGGTCTCGTAATCCCATTTTTTTTTGCTTTCCCTACCAGTTGTGATTATGGTTTCATTAGAATTTGCCTCTTCCGTTTGCAAAATATGCACCCCAACTTGGCAACTTTCACAATCCGTGGCACGGCATTTTTGCACATCATTTGTATTTATAGAAAATAGGGTATAAGGGGTCGATTGGAAGGACAAGCATTCAATAAATTTATAATCGAAACCTTTTGTCGAAGATTTGAGCTTTAAGGAAAATAATTGATAATTTTGTTTATAGATATGTACATAAACTTTTTTTTAAAACATTCTGACTTACATAAATAATAATAATCTAATTGTTTTTAATGATTTCTTATTTTATTCATAACTGCTTAAATACATATGCTTTTAACTATTTTGGATCGAGTTTATTAAAAGTAACTATTTCAAAATGAGGATGTTATTTTAATCAATTTCTGAATTGTATATTACCAGCAAACAGAGTATCTCACTCGTCGATGCTGCTTGCGACTTCTCTTCCTTGCTCACGTATTGTTGTTGGTGTTGTTTAGCAATCTTGACTTGTTGACACAAGGTAATGAGCCAGTCCGCCATTTGCTTGCTTGCATAAGGCAACAGCAGCAGCAGCAGCACAAATACACACACACACACACACATAACTCATCCACACACACTCACACATATTTGTCTGTAGTGCAGATGCTCTTGTACTTTTTATAGCATACTTTCGAGCGGTGCACAAAATGCTAGAGCGAAAACCACAACCATAGTTTGCCGCAGTCAGCATCAAAACATGGCCAACGTTGGAGGCTTTGAATACGGCGAGAAATTGGCAGCAGTTAGTGGCGTTACGAGCAGCACGGCTTTGGCCATACGCAACTCGACAATAATAGCACATCGGTTGTCCATATATTTGCCGCAGCTGCTGCTGCCCTCGCGAGATCCACAAAAGGTATTCAAAAGTGTATTGTGTATTGTGATCTGTTCGCTCTAATGCCTTCTGTCCAGCTCATCATGGAAATCAATTGCCATGTGGCCCAGTTCCGGGAGCTGCTCATCTTCATTGGTCAGTCGCGCGATTCGCCGGAGCTGCGCGAGAAAATCCGTAAACTGCGACGCAGCTGTGTGGATGCCTGCAAGAATTTGGCCCATCTGATAACGCCACAACGGCGCCACTGCCTCGTCAGTCCCAGCGAGAACAGCAATCTCTTACTGCTCTACCACCTGACGCAGCAGTTTCGCCACGAGCTTATCAAGAGCCATCGCCTCATTCAGCTGGTGCCGTACGACATGTCCGAGTATTACGGTGAGTAGCAACAGCTGACCTAGATTCAATATTTTTGTAAATGGCCAAAAGGCCTAAATTTGAACCGTGCAAATGTAATTGACAGGAAAAAAGAAAAGCTTTTATAGATCTCTCTGGAATAGGAGGCAAATGTTCTCTAATTCTACACAAATTGATAAATAAATGTGCCTAAAATTAATTCAATTAAAACTACTATGTATAATAACTTGTACAATAAATTATATTTAATTGTTAATATTGTAGTAGGTATCTAAGGGAGATTCAGAGCTGGGGAGACGATGTCTCCTAGTTGGACAGCAACAATCCGAACATTTTGATTCATTTTGAACTAATAGTTTTCCAATCTTAGCACCCGCTCGCACAGCCCCCTCGAATCTGGGCAATGTCATTAGCCAGATATTGTTGTGCAAGCAAATTAATCCGGACTTTCAGCAGGAGGAGCTGTGCAGCATTAGCAAGGATGCGCAGGAGTTGAGTGAACTGCTCAGCGACCTACAGTCACATTTGCCCAGCCCCGAGGCATCTAGCGAACCGGACCTGCACCTCTCTCACAGCGGTGAGTAAAATGCAGTGTGAAATGAACGATATGAGTAGTATTCAAGCCTGATTTACTCACTCCCCTTGCTTGCAGCTGGTGTTAACTTGGCCTTCATGAATGCACCGCCCGCTTGGTATAAACAGCACCGACGTCGCAGCTGTCGCAGTCGCAGTCTCTGCTGTTGTTTTAAGTCATCCCAAGCGAATTCACTTTGAAAATTGACAGAAAGCTGTGCAGTATCTACATGTGAGACCTCTTAATACCCTATCAATTTCAATTTTAGTGGCCATTGTGCCATTGTTTGCTCAAAAGCTTACGTATCAATAAATTATAGTATTAGTCTGTCATTAGTTATCTGCAATCGCACAGGAAATCCAGAATAAAGTTAGAACTGATAACGATCGACTGTCTAATTCATTGAGAAAATATTACTATGGCTAAATATATTTTATGACAATAATCACAAAAGCTAAAGCCATAGGTTATCTTCATGAAATGTTATATTAATATAATTAATACATTGGACTAATCCACTAATTGAATAGGAATTACCGCAAATAATCATTGCTGTGAAAATTTGTCTTTGTTCTTACTGGAATGCTTTAATTCTATATGTTTCGTTAACTTATCTACATCTTACATAGGAAATTCCACAAAAGCATTTGTTAACATTGATAACGCTTAGTAATTCTCTAAAAGTGCCTCGTGACTATATTTTTCTGGAACGCATACAAAAATGTGGTTTACTCTTTTATATATATTTATATCTATCTAAAGTCTACAAATATGTAAAAACAAAATTGACCTGAATTAAATTTTTTCTTTCTTTCCTTTTTTTTTTGTTATATTTGTTATCTATGCAAACATTTCCATTATACATATTTAAATAATTAAGCTCTTAGAAATGGTTTTTGTGCACCTTTTACATTTTCCGGTAAATTAGGCGCCCACTCAGCATTTCATAAATATAGATTATATCATAAATTAAAAAAAAACAACGGTAAACTTTCGCCCACTGTTTGTAAAAATGTTTACTGCAGTATTTTGCAAACCTGTAACCAGCCAACAAGGAAGTGAATGTGGCACAAGGAAATAAACAAATTGAGTGGGATAACGCTGAAGCGGCAACACTCAATAAAGGACAGCTTTACAGATTTACAAGCAATTTGCTAATAAATACTCAAAAAGAACGAAATAACAATAATGCTAACTACATACATAAATACACACGTATATGTATACGAATATGAGCCAATGCCAAGTCAGGCGGATAAGATGATGAAATCTGTGCCCATTTCACTGGCAACCTTCAAAGGCCCACAAGACCCACAAGTAGATTATCTGGTGTATTGATAAGGTGCACGAGTTATATATTTCTGAAATGTGCAACTCATGGGCAAATAATCTATAAGAGTAAAGAGTTCTACATACAAGATTATAGAACGCGCCTCCGAATAAAAAAATGTGTTTCATTTGATTTTCATTTTTGAATATATTTTAATTTTAAAAATATGCTTTTGTCTTTTACAAAACATATCTCTACATTAAAAATATATAATATATGAATGTGTATATACTTTTATGGAGTTCTATATGGTATATATATATATATATGTATAGGTGTATATATAAGGTATAAACTTCTAGTATATGTCATATGGATTTTCACAGAAAATCTTCAACTTTCTTCTTTGAGTAATGCTTACTTTCCAATTGTTTTTAAACTTTAGTTTAGCATATATTTTTTCCTTTTTCTTATTATTTTTTTTCTTGTGCGTTTATTTTGCGCTGTTTTCTGTGTTGAGCATTAGGCGTTCTATGGAAGATTCATATTATTTTGCATTTCCAACGAATTGTTAATAAATTTTTAACTTTTTTTTTGTGCACAATAATTTGGCATTGTTTTTTTGTTTTTACACGAGGCAAAAAGCAACAACAAACAACTAAAATGTTAACAATTATATTTTTAGATCGTTGGACTCTCTCTTTAGCTACAAATATTAAATTCACTATTTGATTACAAAACATTTTTCGTGTTTTTTTCATTTTCTGGCTAATATCACCGTTATCACTGCAGAGCTCGATTTGAGCTCAAGCTAAATGTAGTCTCTTCTTTTTGATGTATGCGCGTGTCTGTGTGTTTGTGTATGAGTGTGTATCCATGTGCGTGTGCGTGTATGTGTGTGTGTGGTGCCATAATTACAGTGTAAACAAATAATTAATTAACTGCTTAACGCTAATTCAACACAAGCTATGAAAACTCAACGCATACACAACAACATTAACATTTTTTTGCGTATAAGAAAAGAAATAAAAACGCTAAGAACTTATAAAAAAAAAACCTTAGTTAATTAAGCACTAAAATTTAAATATGAAGTGAGAGATTCCCCACTCGCTCCCACTCTCTCTCCCTCTTTCTTTCTCGCCTCCTCTCTGCGTTTGAGTGAGCAGCTAATGCAGCATTAAAAATAAAATGTGGTGGACTTGTTGTTTGTTGGCTCATGGCTGATGATGTTGATGATACTTTTGTGTGTGTTTTAGGTGGCGCCAAAACTTCAGTTGTTTGAAAAGGAACACTGTACTGTATATAAACGCTGCAAGGCGAGAGATCGCCTTTTTCTTTAGATGCGCGTAATTTTATTAGTCGACGTCGACAGCTGCTCCAGACGCGAGCACAGTTCCTGTGCGAGACGCAACTGATTCGCCGCGGCAGCGGCACAGGATGTTGCCGAAGCTGTGGCTGCTACGGGCATTTGCTGCATTGCCATTGCCTCCGGAAAACTGAGGCAAACACCTAACCAGCGTGCCTTGCCACATGCATGCGACTGCAAAGAACAAAGCGAATACAGATTAGCTAATGGTTTCCACTTATTGTCAAGTGTCACACTCACCATAGCAAAGTCACGTTTCCATTGCACTGCACACTGTCCATCGCAGAGGGGGCAGGGACGATCGAGGCTATAGCCACCGCATTCGCTGCAGTCGAGTGAGACATGATCATCGGTCCAGGAGACGCCGCACGTGAAGCAGGAGCCCAGATGCTGACGCAACTCCTCAATGGTCAGCACACTGTCCATGCTGATCTCCAACGGACTGCCTACCAAATCGGGCAACGAGGCAGACAGACCCAAGTTGTGATGACTGCAAGAGAACAGAAGAGAAAAGCAAAAGATGAGCAACTGTTTTCATTTCAAAAGAGACTGAGAGTGTGACTTAAATTTATTATAATTTTCAGCTATTTCCTCTGACTTAACACATCTGAGAAGCTTATATTAAAAGTAAAAAGTACACAAAACGGCCTACATTTATAGCTGTCTGGGATTCACAGCAAGTCTGAATAAATTATGATCTAATGAGCACGTACCCCTTTTTTTTAGGTGCATTAAAATTATAATGCGACGGAGACAACTTCTAGCTGCAAGCTTATAGTAGCTCAGATAAAAGGTGCAGCCCCCCAAACCGCACCTGGACGCCGCACATGCCATGACCTTGCACGGTGGGTGGACATTGGGGCGAGGCGTGCGTCGTTGTCATTGGCGTGATTATGATAATGAGCAGCGTGACGGCTAGACGGCAGAGACAGAGACAGAGGCACAGGCAGAGGCAGCGGCAGCAGCGTTTCGGGACTGTACAAACGACGACAACAACAACAGCAGCAGCAGCAACAACAACAATAACAATAGCAACAAATGTGACACAAGCGGCAGACGGCAGCTTTCGCTTGATCATGTGAGCGACGCATCGTCGCCAGCTTTTATTGTTAGCACCAAGAGAGTGACAATTAATGAGTGCGCAGAGAATGGAGAGCGAGAGAGAGAGTGTGTGAGTGTTGGGGTTTTTTTTTTACATACGTGGATGATGCCTTGTGTCTGATAAGGACAACAACAATAATGCAGTATGCGGCATTTTGCTAATGACAACAAAGACTGTGCCAAATTGTGCTATCGTTGCTACTTGTTGTTCTCTGCACTTCGAACACGATTAGATTGCAAAACTATGAATGGGGCGCCACGCATAATCAGAGTCATTTAACAGTCACTGTTACAGTCACTGTTACAGTCACTGTTAACACTCAGCATTAAATTCCCCATAACTGACCCTGACTTTGTTTACAACGCAGCGAAATTTCGCGCATATATCGAACATATCGAAGGCTGCCGAGAGGTGCAAGCGGGCAGGGCCACATTTGGTATTGTTGTCATTCAAAAACATAACAAAAAACGGAAATGGGGCTTCCAGCTAATTTGTGTTGTGAATCACAAGGCGTATGAGCAATCTGGCCATAGATAGAATGTATCTCATTGTGTTGTGTTTTGTGTTAGCACTGATTAGCATTAGTATCTATAGTTATCTTGAATTGAACGCTTTTAATTATAATTATTACCAAAGTCACACATTTCGTTTGAAAGCTGTATGAATCAATGCAGGTACTTTAAAAACAGTTCGTTTTTTAAATACGATAAAAACAAAGAAGTTAAGTTACGTTGAAACTAAAAATAAATGGCTGACCAACTCTTGTCGCTATACCTATTATATCTTATGTATAATATAATATAATATCTATAATAAAGATCTTAAACGGCTACTTACGCCAATGGACTGCAAATGTCGGCAATTTGGGGGGCATGTACGCTGGCACTCGACATTGTTGCTGTTGTTGTTGGTACTGCAAATGGAAAACCAGAAATAAGAAAAATGTTAAAAAAAACACAACAATTAACAAAAGTTCAGTATAAGGGGGGTTATATAGGGGGGGCATCCATATGTCAGGGGCAGAGTACAACAAAAATATACACAGGTAAACAAACGCACGAAGGTAAACGAGCTGCTTGTGTAGCTTGTATTGGGAAGTTTATTATTAAAGCTAGTTGTGTATGCGAGTGTGTGTGTGTCTGTTTGTGAGTGGGGGTATTATAAAACACTTAAATGTCAAAAAAATAAATAAAAAAAATAAAATTGCATGACAAAACCGCAACGAACCGTGCACAACTGTACTCGATGCCTTTCTGTATACGAAAAAGATGACAAGCTTTATGATCAATATACATTTAAGTACATGTACATATAGAAAATGTCAATAGACGACATTCTTCTTCAATCCGAAAAACAAGAAATAATAGTTTCGCTAAGATAACTTCAGGAAGAGATGGGTTTTTTTTTGTTGCTGCTGCTGCTCCTAATGCGGGACACAATTTGTCACAAAGCTTTTAATACGTTCCGAGTAAGAAAATGTTATAAAATTTGAATGGCAACCAATAAAATCCGGTTAAAAGCGGCCCGCTATGGCTGTAAAGGCCACAACAGTTGGTATAACGCGATGCGTCATATCTCAATGAATGTTGTTTTTGGTTACTTTGCTGTTAAAACCCAATTTAAATTTAAGTTTTAATCTGTGCGTATAATGTGTATGGTTTTCCTTCTTTTTTTTTTGGTGGTAATTTTACATTTGCAGCTAAATTATTTATGAAAGCTTGTAAATGTATATATAGTATATATACTGCACTGCTAATGTATTTATAGCTTATGTGGTCGGCACGAGCGACATGTCTACCGTCAATTGTGATGCGCAATCTTGCTGATTTTGGCAGCATTGCAAAATTTGTATTTTTGACACTGCGAGCGCGACGACAGCACATGACTGTGTTTGCGTTGCTTGGCAATAATATTATACGCTTATACGCTGCTGTCATTCTTGTTGTTGCTGCTTCGGCCCGTCTATATTTAGTTGATCATATGATGCAAAGTGTAATCAAATTTGCGTTATGTGCGAAATTTCAAGCTGCGACCAGAGGCCAGACAAACTGCAGCAGCAACGAGGAGTTGAGCGAAACGCCATTTTACAGCCTGCTAATGTAAATGTTATGTTAATGCTGCCAATGTTAACTGAATGTTTCTTTCTTCTTTTTTATAGCAAATTGCAAATGGGGGATAAAACTATGCAAAACTCAAATATAATTTTTTTTTGCACACGCCGCTTGCACTCAAGCATACACATTAATATACAGACCAATTTTCTGTATATAGATATATATAGATAGACTCAGCATGCAATGCGGTAGCCACAACTCACAACTAGTTGCATTTAATTAAGTTTGATGTGATTTATTTATAGAAGGGCAGTCGCACACACACACATACAGACACACATACACACTGAGGCAGCACAACAGAATGCAAGTTTTGTTTTGCTGTCCCTGTCTCTCTGTCTGTCTGTTAGTGTTGAGTTTACTGTGGGCACGGAAATACTTACAATTTGTTTTATGGTTGTTGTTGTTGCTGTTATGGTTGCTTTTGTTTCAACAGTATATCTGATTGCTAACGGCGCAAATAATTTATTATGCGCTATTAATAAGCCAAATTGGGATTTGTTGTATTATAGTTTTTTTTTTTTGTTTTGTTAGCCTTGCGTAAGCGACAACAATGAAATTGCTTTGACAATTGCTTTTAAATATTTAATTGCAATTAATGGTTTGATTGGTTTAACTTTTCACACGCGTAGCACGTTCGCAACAGTTAAATATACACAATGGTTTATGTTCATTAATATTGTGACAGAAGCTGCAGCACACTTTTATAGTTGGGCTTTTTTTTATAGAAACGTTAATTCGTAACAAAATAAACTTTCTGTAGTTGATGAGCTAAAAGCCAAAAGACCAAGTGGCGTGCACGACAACACAAAATTGACTCAAATGAAGTCGTCGCTCGGCTCGCGTTGCTTTTATAGCAAAATCGGCGAATGTGTGCGAGCGAGTGCGCTACACACCGAGAGAATCCGAACACAAAGAGTGAGCGCGAGCAATGATAAACAGTGAGTGAGTGAGTATATTACCGATATTGCAGTCCCTGTTGCTGAGTGCGCGTACGAGACAGAGAGAGAGAGCAAGATCGCGCGCACATGTATATGGAATGGGATGACAAAGCAAAGCTAACGAACTTGTCAGCTCGAAATTTTAACAGCACCAGCACCAATACATTGACAAGCAGCAACTGCCTACGGCATAGGGTAAATCAAAGTTAATGCCAAAAACTCATTCAGTTGATGCTGGCCAAATTCGCCAGCTATATGCGAGTATTTATGTAGTTGGCAACAGGCCATGCCTTATGATAAGCATTAAAAGAAAATATCACTTTTTCCTGTCTCTCTCTCTCTTTCTCTTTGCTATCAGTCAGCGCACTTTATCTGAGTGAGCAGACATTGAGAGAGCGATAGGGAGAGAGAGAGAGAGAGAGAGAGCGAACGAACTCCCGCTCGTTTAACGGTTAAATATACAAGGCAATACAAAACAATATTGACAGATACAAATACAAATATATATGTACATATATATTGAGAGTGTAATACGTATACGCTGCGTCGAACAGGTCTAGTACATTGACTAAATGTAAACTCGAGGGGTTGTTGACGTAGGTAATTTGGACAAGTCAATACAGACAAAAAAAAACAACACCACGCGGCAACCACCGTCAGCAACGACAGCCTTTCATTTGAATAACAAATCATGTTTTTTTTGCTTGTGACAGGTAGTCCAGGGACGAGAATTGCAGGCACGTGAAAGCGATAGGGGGAGAGAGAGAGAGAGATCCTCAAGTTGGATAAGAGGCACATAAATTACATGACCTGCCCTTTATGACTTAACTGGAACTGTTTATCCTAAATGCTTATCTAAAAACGAGTTCGTAATCTTATCGACGCATGGCACTATAGCAACTATAGCATGAAATCTAAAACACCTGTAACGGTACAATTTCAAAGTCTAAATGCGATCTAAATATATGTACATATATACAGATATATAAATATATATAGGGTGCTCTAGAGGTACCGCAACTGTAATGGAAATTGCCAGCGCAAGTGCTGCAAAGCAACTAAAAAATATTCGCATGTTAATAGGAATTGTTTATTTTTTTGTTGCTGTTTTTTAATCTTTTTTTCTTTATTTATTTTATTTTTTTGCACTACATAAGTCGCGCGTCGCGCCAGCCAGAGCTCAAATTTCGCTAGGTCTACGAAAAAGAAAAACGGAGCAGTCAGATCAACTTAAAATTGACCCTCGCCAAAAATAATGCAATTCAGCAACGACGACAAAGCCAACGTCCAACTAAAAACTATAAACAGACTCTCATAGAAACACACACATTTATACATGCATTCGTATTCTAAACAATTGATCTTTATTTAGAAAGGCGAGACGATACTCATGATTATCATGATCATGATCATGATCGTGATCATCATCTTATTTCCATAGTTCATTTGTGCTCCGGCCCACTTTTCGACTGACATTCAACTTTGAATGCGACGCAGTTTCATTTGTGATTTTTTTTCTCTTTTTTTTTTTTGTTATTATTATTTTGTGGGAAGGGACCATTGTCATCTGAGAAGGTCGCGAGGCAATTACTTGAAACACCTCCGAACTCATTCAAAACATTGCGTCAGACAACGTGAGCGATATTAATATGAACCAATAAGCCACAGACAAATGGAAATATATAACAAACCAAACCAAATAATATTTAAATATTTATTTTTGCAAACCTTTTAAAAAAAATGTTGAAGTGCACTCTGCTCGTATTTGTTGTGTATTTCTGGTACACATTTGAGTTAACTGCTTGAAACAGAAACATGCATGATGTATGCACAGGTAGTTCAAGGAGTGCCTGCATTCAGGGTTATTGCAACTAGCATCCCTGGTATGCATTCATTGAAAGCAATCGAGAAATTGAAAACCAAACTTGAACTTAAGCTAAGAATGGCCTTTGAAATTGATCTACGAGAATGATTAATTACAAAAAGAGTTTATGACTCTCTCTCCCACTCTGAATAAATATCCCGCGACGAAGGCAAGACTGTCAATGATAGAAATCAAAGCTGAGAGTTCAATAACCGACCATCAATTTATAAACTTGTATTTGACCTCAAATATACATAAGTATAGATATATATATATATATATACATAAAACTAAAGTCTGCCAATATAGCAATAAAGATCTCATTATTCAAAGAGCCACCCTCGCTGGGCACATGAACAAGTGCGGCTTGAAGACATGCGCTTCCTCTTTAAGTCATCTGCATCAGTTGAAGCAATTCGCCTTTTATTTCATTTGCTTCAGATACGCAGCTATGCCAACAAAGCTGCGCCTGCTAGTGCCTTTCAATTGTTGTGCGATTTGTGTAAATAAATAAATACATATTTACATATGTGTATTGGTTTGTTGGTTGGCTGGATGTTATGAGCTGGGATCTGACTAGCACCAAATGTACCCAGCTAAATATACAAATGCCGTTGACGTCAATGCGCAAAAGCCGGGAAAAACAAAAGCAAACAAAACTACGCCCCAAAAAAGCAAAATGCAAAAGAAATAATAATATTTATATGTCACAAACAAGAAGAAGACAGATTTCGAATGCATTGTTTTGATCATGAACTCAAAATTGGATGATTCACGATGATTACGGAGAATGAAACAGAATTCTAGTTAACAATATCCAACTAAGAAATTCCGGGTTAACGGCGTCAATCACATGTTAATGAGTTCAACACAAATCGAAACGAGTTTTATAATATATATATATATATATATAAACATTTTGCGGGGTTTCCTCGCTGATAGATTTATGCAAACAGAATGTTTTAACAATTGTTTATATAATTAATGGGAAAAA